ACAAAGACAATCTTTTCCTAAGCCTCAGGCTCTGTCTGAACTTTTGGCAGGAAATTCATCTCCTTCTTCCAAGCAGGTGCCTTTATTCTCAGGCATTCATTATCTGAACCTTCAGCCTAATGTGACAAATTGCCATCATTCAATCATCAAGAGGTGACAGAGAAAGAGTGAACAGCAGAGCAGGGCCCCTTTCCCTGGCATCTCACCCAACTCCTCCTCCAAGGGGCTGGAAGGGCTCCAGCAGGGCGACAGCTCCTGTTTATACCCACTGCCACTACCGAGCAAGGAAAGGCAAGGGATGCACAGGCAGCATCTTACAGCTGTCCCTGAGCATTTTAGGGACAATAGGGAAACACACCTTGGCCACCTTGCTCTGTTTTCCAGACCTGGGCACACAGTCCAAGAATTGCTGCTCCCACCCCCGCTAAGGAAACCAAACACTTCAGTGCACTCAGAGCATGGACGTGCACTTCCATCTTCTGACAACTCAGGGACTGACATGAACCGTTGCACTTCTTAGCAACTTTCTTGACAGCTGCTATCAGGCCTTAGGACTCAAGTTTTTGAGGGTTTCCCCTCGCTCCAGGAATCTCTCACCAGTGGCTGTCACTCCCCTTTAGATGACAACTCCCTCTCCACCCTTCATATGGCCACTGGAGTTCCTTTCCCCATGAATCCTGCCTCCCAGAAATCCCTGAGTGCTCTCTTCCCACTGCTGGCAGCAGCCTTAGGTTGAATAACAAGGGCTCTCCAAGACAGGAGATGGATAATCACTTAAGCAACCATCATGTGCAAGTATATTATCTTCTGATTACAATACAATCAGGATTTCTTTATTTGTTCTTCTGTGATTAAGCACTTTGATTAAAATCCCTTTAAAAGGCTATGCTTTTTCTTACTGGCAGTGTACAAGAGTACAGAATGGTATCTGAAATTAAATAATGGTTTAGAAAACAGGCCAGTTAGTTCCAGTCATGTAAGTTTTTGTGAAATTTGTCATGATTACTAGAAACAGCACTCAGTGAAGCTGATGTAATACAGCCATACAGTGCACCCCACAGGCCAAAGCCACCACTGCCTACACAAATCTGAAAAGGCCATCACATCAGCCAGTATTTAATAAGCAAAACCACAGATTCCCTTACAATTCAGTAACTGAGTGCTCTCAGTCATGATGAAGATGTGAAGGGGCATCTCTCCATCCTCCAGCTCTGTTTCCACAACAAGAAAGTTGCCTGTAAGGGTGAGCTCTGCACTGCATTCCCAGCACCTGCTAACAGCAGACTTCCTACCCACAGAAATGTTCCTCTCTAAGGGGAAGCTGTCCTGGAGGCTGTCCCCACAATCTACCTCACTCTGGTTGCTGCCCATTTGAAACTTCACTGCTGTGCTTGGCCTTCTTCCTTCAAGGAAAATGCTAAGAGGAGCCAACAGCAGGGGAGGGCAGCTGAGGCCTGTTACACCATGTGCCAGGAGCAACCACAGGCACAGAGCTGTCCCTCACCTCTCTGAGCTGCCACAGCTAATGCTACCTGCCTAATTACCTAATTAGGCACCTGCCCAATGGTGCAGGTGTCAAACCCACTGGCTGCTCCAAGGCCTCTGCTCCTCAGGGCAGTACAGCTGTTTGTAAAAAGGGGCCTACAGCCAAGTGCAGGGGCTGTTCAGGGGAGCCCATAAACGAGCCTGCACCATGTTCATGCACAGAAGTCACTGGCACCCATTACACAACACCTCTTGGAAACACAGTAAAGAGATCCCAGCTACTGGCAGGGATTTTTCAAAAGCCAGGTTAAAAACTGGTCTGTTAAATGGTTCTGCAAGCAACACCTCCCTGCTGAGCTGATGTACTCACAGCTCCCACCCCAAGAGAAAACACATTAAAAAAAAGCAAGGGATCAATCTAATTACTTTAATATGGTCCATAACGATGAGCAGGACGATGCTCAGAACTGGATCACCTGGCCCTGTAAGAAGCAAGAGACAAGGGTGAGTTTATTCACCACTGAGTATTGCCCCCCTTTCTCAGCCACTCACAGAATACCAACTCACCTTTCTCTTCTTGTCTCCTCCCAGCTCAAAGTGCTTGCACCTCTTAATTGCCAGCATCCTCTTGGACCTGCAGTTGGGCTCCACACACTCCAGCCTCAGCACAATCTTCTTGGTGGTCTTGGCCTGGGAGGAGGAGCAGGGTGTTTCAATAAACACACATCCCTAAGCAGACAAACTCTCACTCCTGCACTCCTGAACATTCAGTTTGTTCTCAAAGCATAGAGAGAGACTACACAGTTAGGCTCCCTCCACTGAAAAGAAGGCAGCACTTTAAGGATCAGTATGGGAGTGAACTGGATTGGTATCTTCACACAAAGGGTGCTGGCAAAAGCATTCACTGGGGCAGGGCTGGTTCCTACAGGGATCAGCCATGCTGGAGAAATCTGTTCCACTGAACAGAGCAAGAAACTCACACTTTTAGTGTGGAACCACAGACCAGCAGTGCTCAGGACAAATCCAGAAGAAAATTGGGCAAAAGAAACACCTGGAAGCAACACCACTGGCAAATTTTCTCTGAAGGAGCAGTGACACGACAGGCTCAGTGCAGACCTGCAGCTACTCAGAAGCTGGATGAAACCTGAAAGACTGCAGAGGGAAGAATCCAAAGCTGGGAGGCTGCTGTAGCAGCTGGACAGGGCTGTAGCCACCAGCTAAAAACCTCAGCCAACCATCCATACAATGCTGACTGGGAAAAAACAGAAATGAGAATTGCAATGTACAGGCAGAGAGTGCCAGCAATGCAGCTGCTTGGTGTACCCTGCTTGCAGAAGCATTTTCTGTGAGGTCTCCCCACTTCCTGGCACAAAGTCAACTCGAAAACCTGCTGCCTCATTTTTCCTTCTTTCTGGAAGGCTTCCTGTACACCTCCAGCAGGACACCAGGGCTTCCCAGCAACAAGCCAAGCAGCCCTATGAGCATAACTAAATAATTCACACAAAGTAACAAACCCACCCACTGGGGTTTGCTTCCCTGCTGTAAATACACCAAGCAAGCAGACAGCTCCTTTCCCCCTTTGCCAAGCCCTTCCCCTTGGACAAGCAGTGAAGGAAACATTCCTTTCACTGCAAATATCCCTCCCAGAAAATGCCACTCGCCTGCAGCATCAAAGCTGAGAACCTGCTCTGCAAACACAGCCCAAGTCACCCTGCAAAAGAGGAGCGTCTCTACGAGACAGGACAGCAAGGAGATGAGCCATGTTTTTGATGGGAGCTTGGAAGGCAGATGGAGAATGATTTTTTACAAGAGCACAGAGTGACAGGGCAGTGGGAAACAGCTTCACACTGACAGAGATTTAGATTACAGAGTAGGAAGAAATTCTTCCCTGCGAGGGTGGGGTGGCCCTAGCACAGGTTTCCCAGAGCAGCTGTGGCTGTCCCATCCCTGGCAGTGTCCAAGGCCAGGCTGGATGGGCCTTGGAACAGCCTGGGACAGTGGAAGGTGGCCCTGCCATGGCAGGGGGCTGGAACAAGACGGTCCCTTCCAACCCAAGGCATTCTGTGATGAGGGGACACCTGCACTGCCAGCACAGAACTGCCCTAACACAGCCAGGGCAGAGCACTGAGGAACCCTCCCTCAGCTGGGCATGGGCTGCCCAGGACGTTTCCTGTTCCTGAGCAGCAAACTCACTCACCTTTTTACGGAAGATGGGCTTTGTCTGGCCCCCATAGCCGCTCTGCTTCCGATCGTAGCGCCTTTTTCCTGCGGGAGAAACGGCTCTGGTCAGGAAAGAACCCAGGAGGTGCTCCAAGCACAACTGGCACTGCCTAAATCCCAGCACAGCCCAGCAGAAGCAGTGCCACGGCTCTTGTGCTGTCCCCAAAAGTGGAACTTTCCCCTCACTGTGCACCCAACAGACACACAAGGTCAAGGCACTTGATTTATTCAGAGTTCTGTGCAGAGAAGGGTGCTGCTTGGTAAATCCTCTAAGGCAGCACACAAAGGGCTGAAAATATTTATACAGTCCTGTTCAGGTGATATTTGCATACTAATCCACATCACTGCTGGTGGAACTACCATTGGATTCGCTTTCTTTCACCTGGACTTGAAGGCCCAGCACATTTTAAACTCACAGCCCACGCTCAGTAGGCAGGGCTCTCCCTCGGGCTGGCCAGCCTGGGCTCCAGTTATGCTTTCACAGCCAGCCAGGTTCACCCAGAGCACATTCCCTAACTAGTTAAACATTTCTATACAACAACCATCTGAAACTGCTTGGGCTGACACGTCCTTAGTCTTTCTCCCTTTGTCCTATTTTTTCAGTTCCCTTTACTGCACAGCACATCCCTTAGGCCAAGCTGTCCTCCCCAGCCATACAAATGCTCTCAGTCAGGGCACACGACACCCGGAGCGCAGGCAGCTCCCCCGGGCCGCGGCCCGGAGCGAGCCCGTGCTCACCCTGCGCGTACAGCGAGTCCTTCCCCTTCTTGTACTGCGTGACCTTGTGCGGCTGGTGCTTCCCGCATTTCTTGCAGTACGTCCGGCGGGTTTTCGGCACGTTCACCTGGAGGAGAAGGACAGAAGCCGGTCACGGCCGCTGCGCATACGCCACATCCCGCTCCGAAGGCCCCGCTCCCGCCCTTCCCCTTCACTCGGGCCCTGCTCTGCCATCCGGGGATGGGGAAGCCCCCGCGCCGGCCTGGCCACCCAGCACACACCCATGGCAGCGGAGGGAGCCCGGTCCGGCGCAGCCGCGGGGCGGATGCAGGCGGATGGAGCCCGGCCCAGCCCCAGCACTCACCATTTTGGCGGCGGCGGCCCGGAGAGAAGGAGCTGACCGGAAGCGGAAGTGAATGTGAGCTGTGGACCATAGAGAGGAGCGTGCAGGGGCGCACGGGCACGGTGCCCCCTGGCGGTGGGAGGAGAGCAGGCGGCAGCCGTGGGAGGGAGGCTGGGTCTGGGCGGGACGGGGGCTGTGAGGGGTGGGGAACGGCGGGGTCTGCCGGCTGCAGGTGACATCCAGGGGTCTGAAAGACAAAGCATGTGTCAATAGAGTTCCTTGTTAAGGTTTAGGGCTTCACATGTTTCACCGACCTCAGACCTGGCTGGAAATTAACAAGGCTTGGGAAGAAGGATTTACCACTGACAGCGGGCACAGGGAATGCAGAATTTAGAGCACAAGAACAGTTGGCAGAACTGTCAAGACGAGGATGTAACTGACTCAACAAGCTCTGAGTGGGTAAGAGAGATTCCAGGTCACAACACCAACCCTCGGACCACCGACCCAAGAAACCCACTGACCCAAACAAAGAGAAGACTGAACATGTGGTCTAATTAAGATAAGAAGCGAGGGAATCATTTAACACTACAAAACAATATTAATGAATTATGTAATATGTAGCCAATGGAGATTAATGCTTTCATTTGCTAAAATGTATAAACAGTGAAAAGTTTTGATAGTCGCTCTGCTGGCTTTGTGAATTTGCCACCAAAACCTCTTTCAACACAGAACTCTAAATAAAAATACCTCGGTTCTGTGTGGGGGTCAGCCCCACCGGGTGAAAGAGCCCTTTTTGGGGCAGCACAAGGGTGGTCAGCGAAGTCAGCCACCACCTGGCACTGCCCAGAGCGCGGGGCAGGCTCCGGCCACGGTGACCCCACGGCAATGGCCCAGCTGTCTGCAGGAGGAAACACAAGTGCTGCCTTTGAGTCACAAAACGAAAAAAGGGGAACCGAAAGGGTGGGGTTGGCCGGCCCGTCCTTCCTCCCTGCGCACCCTGCCGTCTCTCCCCGTCCCTGGCGCCGAGGCACCCGAGGCGCGGGTGGGCGCGGCGGGCCCGGCGGGCCGGAGCGGCGGCGGGCGGCACGCTCGGTGAGTGAGGAGCCCCGGAGCCCCGGCCGGGGCAGCGCTGCCTCGGGGCTCCCGGCACTCGTGGGGCCCTGCTGGTGTGGCTGTGGGACAGCCGGGGCGGCGGGAGGCGCCGTGTGGCCTGTGCTGGTGGGCTCACACCTCTGCTGGGCTCCGTGAGGGCAGGGGAGCCGTGCTGGGCACAGGACGCGTGCGGCGGGCGGTGAGCCGAGCGGGGAGGCTCTGCCTGCTCCCGCAGCCTGGCCGCTGCCAAGCAGGTGGCATCTGACCCTGTCACCCGGCCGTGGGGCTGTGGGGTACAGCGGGCAGGGAGGTGGAGGGGGTGCCAGGGCCTGAAGGCTGTGCTGGAGCAGGGATCACAGCGGTGTGAGGGTGCCAGGGATGGCCAGGAGCAGGGTTGGGGTTCTGCCAGTGTCTTTGGCCATTCCTCAGCTGTGCTTTTCGCAGTGGGCACTGCTGGGTGCAGCTCTGGGTTTGCTCAGGAGTCTCTCCCATACAGGAGGTTAGCACCTCTGTCCCTCCCACCCATCATTTTTGACACCCTGGGGGCTCAGCCTGAAACACGAGGGCTGTGAAGTTTGTCACTCTGTCACCCTTCCCTCTTGTCCCAGGCATGCCAGGTCCCTGCCAGCCCCACATCAGAGCTTGCCTGTGGTGGAGGGGTGGCCCCGGGGCCATGGTGGGACACATTTGCAGTGGCATGAGGCCAGCAGTGTGTGCCGAGCCTGGTGGTGGTCTCAGAGCACGCTGGGCAGAGGTGTGAGCATGGCAGGAAGTCACACTGGCTGGAGGGGGGGACACAGGACGTGCTCGCACACACCCACTCGTCACTGCTGTCACAGCACACTGGTGGCTGAGGGGCTGAGCCCTGTGGGGTACCCACCACACTGAGACAGGCAGGGACACAGCGGGTCTGGTGGCAGAGCTGGGGACAGGGGGGCTGTGCCATGATGGGGCACACAGCCCTCTGAAAAGCCCATTGTCCTTTCCCCTCTGGCAGTTCCACCCAGAGGACACAGTGAGGACGTGTCCCACCTGCCTGGCACTGCTGGCCATGACCCCGCTGCTGTGACTCCAGGTAAAGCTCCAGGGAGCCAGCACTGCAGTTGGGATGGGCTGGAGCCCAGGGCCCCTCTGCTCAACTCTGTGACTGCCAGGGAGGGCAGTGGGAGCCCTCCTGCTCTTGGCACACAGGATCAGCAGCCACACTTGATTAGAAGGAAAATGAGGCACAGGGCTACAGGGTGGTTCTGGGGTCACTCTGGGCTCATCCACCATCCTGCCAGCAGTCTGGGGGTCAGGGGGGCCACACCAGCCACCTGCAGGGACCCCAGATCCCTCCTCCTGAGGCTTCAATCAGCACACTGCTGTTTTTTCCAAAACACTCTGATGACTAATTTTAAGTTGTTTAAGTTGGGCTTTTTTTGACCACCCAACAAGCTGGAAAGGTCTGAGCCATAAGAGCCACAAGGAGGGAAAATGGAAGCCTGGGAGAGAGAATCCTGCTTGTCCCCAGCCTTTCTGGGGACTGTGGGGCAGGGTCAGTACTGCAGCAGTAGGGGCTGTGCTGGGAGGGACTGGGCATTGCCAACAGATGGGAGGACATCTCTGCCCCTTGTCCCCAAGCTGGGGCTTGCCCTGGAGAGAGGCACAGTGTGTGGGACTGGGTCCTGGCATCTTTGTTCCCCACGTGTCTGTGCTGTGAGTGAGCCAATGCCCTTCTCCTGTGTGTGGAGAATGAATACTCAGCTGGGGAATGGGGGGCTGAACCCCTGTTTCTGGTCCACCTCTGAGCCTCCCCCTGAGGAGATGGGCTGTGGGGAGCAGGGGAGAAAAACAGCTTCTTCCAGGTTACTCTCCAAAGCTGTGTTTATAGGAGGAAAAAAGGGAACAAGGTGAGGGTGAAGAGGAAGCAGGGACTGTAGGTGGTCAGGCAGGAGACAGGGAGCTGGGCTCCAGGGGCTCACAGCTCAGCAGGGGCTCCACACAGCTCACTCATCAGCTCCCCAGACTGCAGTCAGGTGCTGGTCACAGCCCACAGCTCCAGCCACGTGGCTCTGGGGGTGCTGGGCCCACCTGGGGGTCACAGTTCTTGGGTACAGCATGGAGGGATGGGGTGAGATGCACGGCTGCTCCAAGAGATGGGCCAGGGCAATTTCCAGTCCCTAAAGGCTGGGCAGCAGTTGGATGCAGAGCTCTCATGAGCCCTTTCCTGCACTGCCCTTCCCTGGAGAGGCTATGGGGAGATTTCCTGATGGCTGGGGGAGGATTTAACCCCTCTGCCTGCTGGCTGGAGACAGCCCTTCAAGCCTGGCCATTTACAAGTGCTGCTCAGAGGGAGAGGAGTTGAGCTCCATCCTGCACTCCTGCAGTCTCTGTGGACACACAGGGGAAGGATGTCTTTGGGGCTACACTGTGTTTGTGGCAGCACTGTGACTTTTCAGGGCCAGGACCTACCCACAGCTTTTTAGGGATTGGTCTCCCGTGACCAACCTTTGCACGCTGCCAAGTCAGCACGTCCCCAGCACGAAGAGGCTGCGGTGGGGCAGGAGGAAACAGCCCACACAGGCTCACATGCACAGAGCTGAGGGGAGGAGCGCCTGCGGGGTGTCACAGCTGGCTCCGCGCTCCTCCCCGGGGCTCCAAGCTTCCCCCGTTTCTCTCTTTCTCCAGCTCTCTGTCCATCTTGCATATCCTGGGGGCCTCTTCAGCAGGAGAAGGAGCCATCTGGATGGTGGCTTGGTCTGCAGCCTGGTGTGGGAGAGGTCACATCACAAACAACCCACACTGACCTGTCCTCACCCTTCTGCGGCTGCTCCCCCCACTGTGGGGGTCCCAGCACCCCCTGTCTGCCCCTGGGGCAAGAGGGAGAGTGCACTGAGTGAGGTCCAGCAGGTTTTGGGCTGAGTGAGCACCGTGTCAGCATTGTCTTGCCCACAGCAAGCCGGTGAGCACAGCACGGGGGACACCAGGAGTTGACATGGCCAGTGTCATCCTGGAGAGCATCTTCTTGAAGCGCTCGCAGCAGAAGAAGAAAACATCTCCCCTCAACTTCAAGAAGCGGCTGTTCCTGCTGACAGAGAGCAAGCTGTCCTACTACGAGTATGACTTTGAGCGGGGGGTGAGTCTGCAGCCCCAGGAGCAGTGCCACGCCAGTGTCCAGGGGTCACCAGCTGTCCCTTGCCAGCACGTAGCCCAAGGGGTGGTTGGACAGGGAGAGGGGCTGATTTGAGTCTCTCCAGGTCTCCTCTTGGTGACCATTTGAACCAAGACTGTCTCTTGCAGCGCCGGGGCAGTAAGAAGGGCTCTGTGGACGTTGAGAAGATCACCTGTGTGGAGACAGTGGCACCTGAAAACAACCCTCCCCCTGAACGACAGGTCCCGGTGAGGAGAGTCCCTGGGGTGGTGGCAGTGGGGAACAACCCTGCTTGGCATGGGGGGCTCTGTCCACACCATACCAGGTGTCCACCTCGATGCAGAGCAGGGGGATGCCAAAAGCTGTGGGCCTGCTCCAGAGGAGATGCCAGCAGCTGAGTGACAGTATGCCAGCATCCGTCTCTGCCTCTCTCTTCCAGAGGAAAGGGGAGGATTACAACAACATGGAGCAGATCTCGATCATCGAACGGTTCCCCTACCCCTTCCAGGTGAGTTTTCACTGCACCCTCTTTGCTGGTCCACTCTGCCTGGTGGCAGGTCCTGAGGGGAGGACCCTACAGGAGCCTGGGGTCAAACATGGCATCACTGCCCCGGTGCCAGGTGTCACTCAAGTGCTTGGAGACACTGCTGCTGTCCACACTGCATGGGACAGCCAGGTGAGCCTCTCTGAGCCCCGAGCCAGCTCTGTTTAAGATGGAAACCTGCTTCTGAGCTCTGTCCTGCCCCTTGCAGTCCCCTGGCTGATGCTGGAGGAATTGCTGGCTGCACACTCAGCCCCCAGCCCAGCTGCCTGCCCTGCTGGCACCCAGTGCACCCCCGGCACACCGAAAATTAGAGAAGGAAGTGGAAAGTCTCGGGGGAGGGGGCTTATTTTTAACCTCTTTGTCACGGTCCGCGAGCACCGTGCGGGGCCAGCAGACATCGGCAGGGCTGGCTCGGGGTGGCCACAAGGCTCGGCTCCGCCCGTGCCTGCCGTGAGAGCCCTGCCCGCGGTACTGAGGTGAATGTTCCTGCAGGTGGTCTATGACGAAGGGCCCCTCTACATCTTCTCCCCGACGGAGGAGCTGCGCAAGCGCTGGATCCATCAGCTGAAGAGCGGTGAGTGCTGGGCTCTGCAGCTCCCTTGGGAAGCCAGCACGGGCTCAGCTGTGCCTGTGCCTGACCCACAGTGCAGGCTCCCAGGCTTGCTGGCTCATGGTTACCTGTCCCGTGTCTGAGGGAGAGCGAGCTGCTCCTGCCCGGGGCTGTCACCCTCTGCAGCACCACAGCTGCCTCAGTGAGGCTCCTTGCCTTCTCACAAACCTGCTCCAAAGTAGATCAAGCAGGCTCAGAAATCATTGAGGGCAAGAGGAAATAGCAGATGTGGCCATACAACTGTGCTGCCTTGGCATGTGAGGGTTGGGTGCCCAGTGCTTTAGGAAACATGGACCACAAGCCTCCTGGGAGTCAGGGAGTATCTTCCCCAAACCACCTCAAGCTTTGCTCAGTGCTAATGCTCAGAGCTGGGTGCATGCTCCCTTCTCGAGCTGGGAGTGTGTTGTAGCAGCACTGTGCCAAGGGGCTCTGACCACCCAAAATCTGCTGGAGCTGCCTGTATGTGCCTCCTGGCACATGTATGTGTGTCTTTCTGTGGCTTTGTGCTGGCAGGGTGGGATTAGCAGCTTGAGTTGACACAGGGAAGTTGGCTCGAGCGAGGCGGAAGAGGGGCAGGCTGATAACGGGGAAGTCGGTTATCTCACAAGAGCCCCAGCGGAGCAGCCAGTCCTCTCCACTTCCCTGCTGAGGGAGGAGAGTTTCTCTGGCAGCTCCAGCCAGTGTAGAATCCACAAGAAAAGGAGAGAAAATGCTGCCTTTTTGCTGACAGGTTGTCTTCCTCTTACTCCACCAAAGAACGTGCAACTAACGTGGGTCAGCCCCAGGCTGTTGACGGTGTTTAGGCAGATCCAGTTTTCTCTTCCCTCTAGAGAAGTATGAGGAAGCTGGTCAGCCTGCCTGGCAAGGGAATATTCTCCCTGCAAGGGAAGTCTCTGAGCAGGCACAGGTGGTGGCAGTGCCCTCCTCTTCCCATGGAAAAGCAGGCACAGCATTGGCCTCCCACCCCACTTCTGGAAAAAAAAGGGCTCAAAAGAGCTGTAAACCATGGGCCAGAGCAGCCTGGGGGTTACTGGATATTTTGGCTGGCAGGAGGGCCAGGTCCTTCTGTGACTGGCTCCAAGCATGCTCATGCTGCCCCTTTGCAGAGCTGCTCAAAAGCTTGAATCAGATCTGAGCGCCAAGCCTGGCCCTTCCCTGTGGCAAGGGCTTGCATGGCCACAGCACTGAAAGAGTGGTAAGCTGAGGGAAACCTGAACATCAAGGCTCAGGGGACAGCAGCACAGCTGAGAGGAAATGATTTAATGCAGCTGACCACTTGCATTCAGGGAGCGGAGAGCTCTTGCAGCAGGCTGGGGACACAGCTCTGGGTCACACACCTCTTCCCTCTTGCCACAGTGATTCGGTACAACAGCGACCTGGTCCAGAAGTACCACCCCTGCTTCTGGATCGATGGCCAGTACCTGTGCTGCTCCCAGACAGCCAAGAACGCCATGGGCTGCCAGATTCTGGAGAGCAGGAATGGCAGTAAGACACCAGGCAACCTCCCACTGCCTCATCCCCCTGCCCTGGGGACCACTGCGGCACAGAGCCAGGGATCTTTTCTAACTTTAGCCCCTCCTCTGTTCCGAAGGTTTAAAAGTCGGGCGGTCGCATCGCAAGACAAAGAAGCCCCTTCCCCCAACTCCTGAGGAGGACCAGGTAAAGGCCAATGTCAGGGTTTGCTCCAAAGTGTTGGAGAAAGATCTGCCTGAAGAAAGCAAACATGTTCAATGACTGGTCAGAGATGTACAGGCCAGGACTCTGTTCTGGCGAGGGATGTCAAGATGGTGACCTAAGGGAGAAGGAGCTTGAAGCAGGGGATGGAGCCCAAAGGCCTATAGGGAAGTCAAATGATCTTAACCCTGAGGCTTCCCAGGGCAGCTGAGAGATTAAAGCCCTAATGTAGGCTGGAGGAGTCACAGGTTAAGCCAAAAGGTAAAAAGAAAACACTTACCTTTTTGTGGAGATGGGGAAAAATTTTTTTATAAAAAGTCCAGGGAGAGGAAATGGGTGTTCTGGTAGAGATACACATGGGAGCTGAGGCAAACACTGCACTGACTTTCCCTGACACCACTGCCCTCCCAGGCCTGGGAAGGGTCTCATGTGTGTGTGCCAGCCTGACTGTGTCCCATGCTCTCCCTCTCCCTGTGGGAAGATGGTGATGAAGCCTCTGCCCCCCGAGCCAGCCCCCAGCACAGCAGGGGAGATGAAGAAGGTGGTGGCCCTCTACAACTACGAGCCGATGAACGCACAGGACCTGCAGCTGCACAAGGGCGAGGAGTACTTCATCCTGGAGGAGAGCCACCTGCCCTGGTGGAAAGCCCTGGACAAGAACGGGTGAGAGCTCCCACTGCCCATGGCCGTGGCTCTGCAGCGCTGCCCTGCCCTGGTGCTCAGGCACTGGTGGGCAAACACACCCCTTGGGCACCCTGTGGGTGAGGGCAGCCTGCCTGCCCACCTGTGGGCTGCCCTGGGGAGGAGGCTGAAACCAGCTGTGGTGTCAGCCCTTCCCAGATGGGTTTGCACCAAAGCTTTTGAGCCCATTTCTATAAGCCTCCTGAGACAGGAATATCCTTTCCCCTTGGCCTCCTCTATCAGAGTGTGACCAGCCCTTTTCTCTGCAGGAGGGAAGGATACATCCCCAGCAACTATGTCACTGAAACCAGAAATTCCCTGGAGATCTTTGAGTAAGAGAGGGCACAGGCACCTGGCGAGTTGCACTTGGTTGGAGACATTTTCCATTTGGTTGTTACCCTACACAGCCCATGAGCCCAGCCTGGCTGGGTCATTCTCCCTCTTCCACATCCTCTGACAGCCTCCAGCCCCTGGCAGCCATCCCTGCCCTGCTCTCTGCACTGCCTGTCCTGGCTGTGCCAGGGTCAGCCTGGGCTGGGGACAGAGGTGGCTGTGGAGATCTCCCTGATGCCTGTGTCCCTGTTCCAGGTGGTACTCAAAGAATATCACTCGGAGCCAAGCAGAGCAACTGTTGAAACAGGAGGTAAGTGTTACCTCCTGAGGCTGGGTCTGTTCTACACCAGCCCTCCATGGGCTGTTCTCACATTGTGTCCAGCATGGGACCAACCCTGGCTTTTCTGGGAGAGGAGTGTTGTCCCAACGGCCCTAGGAACCTTCCCTATCCCAGTGTGAGCTCTTCCCGGCAGCCACTTCAGGAGATTGCCTCCCATGCAGGGACTGGAAATAGGATTCCTCTGACTCACTGCATCCTCTCCAGCCATGCTGTGATCTCCACTCCAAGTTTTGCTGTTAGAGCGACACACAGTCCCCACAAACACCCAGTGCCCTTTCCCCTTCCTGTTTTAGGGTAAGGAAGGTGGCTTCATTGTCCGAGATTCCACCAGCAAGACAGGGAAATACACTGTCTCCGTCTATGCCAAGTCCTCTGTGTAAGTGGCTCTAAGAACAGCTTATTCCTCCCTCAGAGGGCCCTTCCAGGCACCTCTCACCCTCTGCCTCTCCTCCCCATGGCACTGACCTCATGTTCTCCCTCTCCAGAGACCCCCAAGGCACGATCCGCCACTATGTTGTGTGCTGCACCCCCCAGAATCAGTATTACCTGGCAGAAAAACACCTGTTCAACAGCATCCCAGAGCTCATCACCTACCACCAGCACAACTCTGCAGGTCAGTGTTCTGGAGCCAGAGTGAAGCCAGCCGTGTTTGCACTGGCACCACAGCATTCCCACCTTCCTGTGCCAAAGGCAGGAGTTGTGTTCCCTGCTGGAATGTGGCAGGTAAGCCTAGAGTGGCAATTTCTGCTGCTGTGTTTCAGGGCTCATATCCAGACTGAAGTACCCTGTGTCTCAGCACAAGAAAAGTGCTCCTTCCACAGCTGGCCTTGGCTATGGTAAGCCAGCCTGGGCTACCTCGCAGTTCCCTGGTTACAGGGTTTGTTTCTGCTGGCAGCAGCCTTCCCAGGCTGGGATCCTTGCTGTCCCATGGCTCATAGCCTTCCCAGGAACCACTTCCCAGCTGCCCTCTGGTGACAGTATTGACCAAAAGACTCCACAAGCTACCTTGCTCCTAGCAAGCCAGGGGATGCCTGGAGTTACAGGTCTCGGATTTTGTGGATGATTTATCAGGCAGCAAATGCTTGTGAGCTTTTTTTGGGCTTGCTAGACGGGATGACTGGGAGCACTGAGCAGGGAGGTCACCTGTACCCACAGTACACTCACACTCTTGTCCTAGGCTCGTGGGAGATCGACCCCAAGGATCTGACCTTCCTGAAGGAACTGGGGACGGGGCAGTTTGGCGTGGTGAAGTACGGGAAATGGAGAGGCCAGTACAACGTTGCCATCAAGATGATCAGGGAGGGCTCCATGTCAGAGGACGAGTTTATTGATGAAGCCAAAGTCATGATGTAAGTGGTGAGCACCATGCAGGGCAGTGCTGGATGCTCCTTGCCAGAATGGCTGCACTCCTGGGAGGTGTGGAGGGACAGTCTTGGGCAGTCCCATACTCTGCAAAATGCGTTCAAAATTCCACTGATTTTGTGCTGATTCCTTGTTGAGGTTTTCCACTGTCAGCTGGGCCAGAAGCACCTTCCCTTCCCAAACTCTCCTTATTCACAGGTACTTCCTTTGCTCCCTAGCTTTCTAGATGCTCAGAATTGCCTTTGTCCCCAACACAGGAACCTGTCCCACGAGAAGCTGGTACAGCTCTACGGGGTCTGCACTAAGCAGCGTCCCATCTTCATCATCACCGAGTACATGGCCAACGGCTGCCTCCTGAACTTCCTGAGGGAAACACGGCAGCGCTTCCAGCCTCCCGAGCTGCTGGAGATGTGCAAGGATGTCTGTGAAGCTATGGAGTACCTGGAATCCAAGCAGTTCCTGCACAGAGACCTGGTAGGGCTCTGGCTGCTTTGTTCAGGCAAAATCCTCATGGGGAAGTCAACCCTACATAGATAAACAGGATGCTTGGAGGTCTCAGTTGCACTCTGTTGAGGGTTTTCTAGCTTGCCCCAGTCCAGGTGAACTTGCAGGACAAAGTGAGGTGAAGTGTGGGGATGAGATGAAGTTCACCTGCTGCAGGGGGATGGGAGAGACAAGAGCAGGTAGAAGTAATTACCTCCACCTCTCCATTCACAGGCTGCTCGAAACTGTTTGGTGAATGACCAAGGCATAGTGAAAGTGTCAGATTTTGGTCTTTCCAGGTCTGGTAGATGTGTTTGTGTCACTTTCCTGTCTCAGTACCCCATCTCCTCCTTCCATCAATTCTACACTTTGGTCTTTGTCCCCACCACCCTCCAGCTCTGCTTTACCATTGTCTTCCCATTTCATCTGCTTGGCTCAACCTTCTGCCTCTCCACTTTCCACTATCCCTTCCTTACTTTCCCTGGCCCTTTCCCCTCTCTCTCTGTATCTTCTTTCTCACCCCCAATTCTCCTGGCTACAGCTTTCTCTCCACATCCCCTTTTTGCTGTGCTTCCACATCAGCAAATCTCTTCTGCAGTCCTGGCTAACATGCATGTACTGCTGAAACCCATGCAGAGCTGCAGCCTCTGGTCATTCTGAGCTGCCATTCCTTTTGAGCTTGGTCAGTTGTGTGGAGGAGGGAAATGTGAAATCCAGGTGAGGCACCCTGATCCATTTTCCTGCTGCAGGTACGTGCTAGATGATGAGTACACAAGCTCCCTGGGGTCCAAGTTTCCAGTGCGGTGGTCTCCTCCTGAAGTGCTGCTGTACAGCAAGTTCAGCAGCAAGTCTGACGTCTGGTCCTTTGGTAAGGGCACAGTATTGGTGATTTGGAGGTTGGGAACTCCTCTGCAAACCAGGTGCAGGCACAGCTGCTCCAATGCCATGAGCGCTCCATGCTGTTCCCCCAATAGGAGTCCTGATGTGGGAAGTTTACTCCCTGGGGAAGATGCCTTACGAGAGGTTTAACAACAGCGAGACAACCGAGCACGTCATCCAAGGCCTGCGCCTGTACCGGCCGCAGGCGGCCTCGGAGCGGGTCTATGCCATCATGTACAGCTGCTGGCACGAGGTGAGTGGCTTGCACCCCTGGTGACACCTCTGGCCACCCTGGCGGGGTGACGGGGCTCCCCAGGGCATGGCTGGGGCAGACACGGGCTCCAGCCAGGCTCCCCTCTGGCCCCACAGAAGCCTGAGGAGCGCCCCACCTTCACCGTGCTGCTGAGCAGCATCCTGGACATCGCTGACGAGGAGTGCTGACCGCGGGTACTGCCCGCTGACCCTGCCCAGCGCCGCCACTGCCCAGCGGGACACGCCGCGCGCCGGCTGGCACAGCGTCATGGACACGGCTCGGGCGTGCAGGAGCCTGGGGGACGCCCACGGCCGTACCCAGAGCTCCACCACATGCTCAGAGCTTCACCACTTCCCTGGAGCTCCATCACGTGCTCAGAGCTCCATCACCACCCCAGAACTCCATCACATCCCCAGAACTTCATCGCATCCCCGGAGCTCCATCACCGTCTTGGAGCTCCATCACACCCCGGAGCCTCATCACCGCGCCGGGGCTCCATCACACCCCGGAGCCCCATCACCGCGCCGGGGCTCCATCACACCCCGGAGCCCCATCACCGCGCCGGGGCTCCATCACCCCCCGGAGCCCCATCACCGCGCCGGGGCTCCATCACCCCCCGGAACGTTCCCGGTCGGGTCCGGTCCCGGACAATAAAACCGTTCCACGGCCTCCCCGGCTGCGGCCGCTCCGCCCCGCCGGCAGGGGGAGCGCGGCGGGCGGGCGCGCACGCGCGGCGCGGGCGGAAGGGGCGGGCGCGGCACCGGCGGCACGTGAAGGTCGCGGCGCGGCGGCGCCGGGAGGGAGCGGGGGGACAGCGGGAGCGCCATGGACCCGCCGTCCGCCGCCGGGCTGGGCGGGGCCGACCCCCAGCTCCAGCGTTTCATCGAGGTGGAGACGCAGAAGCAGCGCTTCCAGCAGCTGGTGCACCAGATGACCGAGCTGTGCTGGGTACGGGCGGCGGGCAGGGCCGTCGGCTCCGGTGACCCGGTCGCGATGGTGGGGCAAGGCGGGCTGGGAGGCCGCGCAGACCTTTGTCCCCGGGGGGAGGAGGCTGATGGGGACAAAATGGAGCCGCCGTGGGAGCAGCCCCAGCTCCGGTGAGCACAGAGCGGGAGGGGGCGGCTCTCCGGGAGCGGCGGGGCGGGCAGAGCCGCGCGTGGGGAGGGCTCGGATGCGCCCGAGGCGGGCTGAGGGTCCCGAGAGGATCGCGATCCCGAGGTGGCGGGAGGTGCCCAGAGGCGCGGCCCCGGTGCGGGGTGGGGTGGGGGCGTCGGGCTGCGGTGCCCCCGGCACCAACGGGCCCCCGCTGTGTGCAGGAGAAGTGCATGGACAAGCCGGGCCCCAAGCTGGACAGCCGGGCTGAGACGTGCTTCGTGAACTGCGTGGAGCGCTTCATCGACACCAGCCAGTTCATCCTGAACCGGCTGGAGCAGACGCAGAAGTCCAAGTCGGCCTTCTCGGAGAGCCTGTCCGACTGAGCCGGACCCAGCCCCGCCGGGCCAGGCCCTCGCCCATGCCCACTCCTGGTCACTCCGCTGCCCCAGGATCAGCTCGGGGGGTAGGATTTGATTAAATGCCAGTCTCGGGGAAGTCGCAGCCAGATGAGAGCTCACACCAGACACAAGGACGCTCCACGTTGGGGTGATGTGCTGCTCCGGGCCCTGCGGGCCAGCGGCCACCTTTGTGCTGGGAGCCCGGTGCCATGCAGGGAGCGTTTGGAGCCCTCGGCTGAGCAGAGGGGTGCTGATGCTCGTTTCACAGATGCTCCCAGCGCTGATGGGAAGCTCGGCTCTGGGTGAGGCCAGCCTGCCTTAAACAGTGCTGCACAAAGCAGCCCTCCTGGGCACATCCTCACCCGCCCCGGGCACCATCGCTGTGCAGGCTGGGACAGGCACCCTGAGCAAGAAGAGCATGTTGGGAACAGTGATCATCCCAGGCAGTGCCACTGCTGGAAAGTACTTCCAGGCTTCCATACATAAATCCTTCATACGGCCAAGTGACCAATTTTCACACTGCAGCACAACTCTGTCGATGCTGACTTGCTCCATTAACTGCTTTCCCTGGGTAAATGTAATAAATATTAACTGGGTCAATTTTTAATATGAGATTCTCCTTTTTTCAGATAGATCACTACTAAGAATGGAAAATCTGGCCTTCTTGCCACTCCCCCTCCTTCCCAATTATCCTATTTATGGCGAAATTAGTAGGAAGGAGATATAACTGTCTTCTGGCTAGAAGGCCTTTTCTGAATTCTGATTTGTTACTCAATTAATTTGGTCTCATGAATCATACTTTTTCTGGGAGAGGCTGTGGCCTTTCCTCTTCTTCCCCAAAAGGTTAACAGCTCAATTAATTTGGTCTCATGAATCAGAATTGTTTCTGGGAGAGGCTGTGGCCTTTCCTCTTCTTCCCCAAAAGGTTAACAGCTCCTGCTGTCCTGGAGAGTAGTTTCTTTAAAGAGACTAAATGCAGGGAATAACTAACTAGCTGCTTTATAACCTCGTGCCCCTTCACCTGTGGAGGTCACTGGCCTGAGGCCTGTGGGTGTGTCTTCTGGACCTCTGTCCCCAGGACACAAAGAGGAGCTTCAAACTGGAAAAACAACCAAGTACTGATCAGCTCTCTGGGAAGGCAGCAGCATTTCAGCAGTGCTCGTATGCTGCAGGGCTCTGGGAAGCCTGGAGTGACCCTGACAGTGGTCTGGAGCTCTACACAGGAGCCTGGTACAGCAGTTCTGCACACAACCCACTGCAGGGGCTGCTGGACGGAGCGTGGGAGCTCCTAGTGGGGGCTTGTAGCCAGCAGCCTCCCTGGGAACAAACTCAGGATGTGTTCAGCAGCTATGCAGATGTAAACCCATGTCAGTGAGGACACAGCTGTCTAGTTATCTGTCAGAAACTTACCTCAATAGCAGAAAAGGACTAGGTTCCCAGAGTAGATGATTCCCTCTCCTGTCCTAACCTGAGTTTCTCTGGAGCACTCAGAGTTCTTCCTACCCCTGTGATCCTCTATGCCTTCCAGTGTTCACCCAGCTCTTGGTATAAATGTATCACTCCCCACTGGGTAACTGAACAGATCAGTCTTTAATAGCACACAGGAAGCTTCATCAACCTGCGTTGCAGACATTGCACAAAGAGGTTGTCCCTCTCTAAGAGCCACAGCAGCATGTGGCAGCACCACTGAAGTTTCCCAGTTTGGGCTGTATTCTGTTTTTGGATGTGAATCTGTAAATAAATTCTAGCAGAGTGAGCAAAATCAAGTACTTGACAGAGGAATTTTTGCATTAATACTCTCTGAATGTCACCTTTAAAGCCAGACATCCATCTTCTCTCTGTGCAGCCATAGCACCATGTTAGATCGTTCTGTAACTGTTAATTCTGGGGTTAAAAAAAACAGTGTGAGCCTCCCCAGATGTGTGATCTGCCATGGAGTCAGGGTTAGCACTGTGTTAGTGCTGCAGGCCTCTCTGCCCTGACGAGGGCAGATTAATTCTTTACGTAAGAGTGAAGAGGCACAGGATGCCAGGAACTGGGCAGTTCCCAGGGCTCCTGTCTGTAGCCACAGGAGGCTGCTGGCCCTGCCAGCCTCCTGTCAGCGTGGTGGTGCCTGGGGCAGGCAGAGGCTAACTCCTGCAGCACGTTCAGCCTTGGCAGTGGGAGCTGGAAGCCAGCAGTTCAGATGCTTCCTCACCTGCTTTCACTTCTCCTCCTCCTCCTCCTCCTCTGCACTCTGAGAGCCCTTTTCCTCCGAGGGCAGCAGAGGCTGGTGCTGACAGGACTGATGTCTGTCTGCACTGCTCCAGGGCGGGTGTGGCTCTGCCCTGGCTGGCTGCAGGAAGAGGGGCAGGAGGCTGGGGGTGAAGGGCATGTCCCTGAAGGCGTGCAGGAGGAAGATGCCGGACACGATGGTGAGGAAGCCGCTGATGGAGCCGATGATGTTGTCCAGCACCATGTGCTGCCACTCCTTGAAGAGGATGGCAGAGCACGTCATGACTGCCGTGGTGAACAGCACGTAGTAAATGGGTGTGACCACAGAGGTGTTGAAAATGTCCAGGGCTTTGTTCAGGTAGTTGATCTGGATGCTGATGCAGATCACCAGGCACACCAGGAGCACCCAGCCCAGGGGTTCCTTCAGGACTGGCTTCCCAGAGAACAGTTCTTTCAGGGCAATCCCCAGGCCTTTGACACAGGATACAGACAGTGAGCCAATGGCAGAGCAGACCAAAACATAAACCAGGACGTTGCTCTGTCCATAACGGGGTCCAGCCACAAAGATGAGCAGAAGAGAGCTCACCAGGACACACACAGCAAATACAATGAATCCTTGGGGAAAGAAGAATTCAAGAACTCCCATCAGAACACAGCAACACCAGTGACAGATATGACTGAACAGCAAGTAGAGATGGAGGACAGGCAGGTAACTCCCCCATCAGCCTTTCTGGCCTCCATCTGAAGGGAACACGGTTGGAAAGCCTGAGCAAAGCTGCAGAGACAACAACAGCTCATTACAGTGTGATCACAAGTCAGGTTGTTGGGGATACAGTCTGCTGGGAGTGGCAGGGGCACAGCCAGGCTCCACAGTACTACCAGAGCTGAGGAGCTTTTAACCAGTCCAGCAGCAGACCCAGGAAGATGACAGAAGGCTTGGGAAGCCGTGGCTGAACTCTGCAGACTGGTGGGATAAAAAGGAAAGTGCCACATCACAGGAATGCCCTGCCAGTGCTCCCCCTAATGAGCAGCAATATCTGCCTGTTAGTCTGCTTTGATCCTCTCCTTATGCTGCCTTCCTCCATCTCTTTTGGCTTATTCTGCCATTTGTGCTATTGCCTACATCATATCCTTGTGACTTGATTCATCCTCTAACATAAATACCAGGACTACCTGATCTTGGACACAACTCCTTGAATTCTCTTGCCTTGAATTCTTCTGACTGAATTTCCTCCTCTGTCTTCCCTCAGCCACACCACTACCACCCTTATGTACAGGAATTCCCTCTGCAATTCCTGGCACTGCCACAGGCAGTGTTGACAGCTGCACCTCATTTCTCTGCTCCTCACTTTTTGCATCTATACCTCACAGACAGTAAAAAACCAGCCCACTTGGTAACTATTAATGATTCCAGTGGGGTGTGCAGAACAAGAAACAGCTCAATTAGCTTTTAGTTACGTCTTTTCCAATCTATCCAAGTTGCATCCCACCTTCTACTGTCATTAGCCTGAAGTCAACAGAAATCCTTTTATTTTAGTACCTGGATCTTTCAGCTTCTCTGCCATTGACTCCAGGCTGGAAACCTCTTCTTCCTGTGGAGCATGGATCACCATCACAGTGGAGCCCAGCATACTCAGGATGCAGCCAATCTTCCCGTGAACATTCAGCTGCTCATTCAGGAAGATGGAAGACAGAACTGCACTGAAAAAATAAAAAAAAAAATCCAAAACCAATTAGAACAACAAATAGATACCTGAAGGAAGAGAGTAAAGAACTGCTTTCATCACTAAGGTAGGTGAAGTGAGGCTGTTTCTAAGGCTGCTTACCTAACAAGGACACTCAGAGCACCCAGTGGAGTTACCAGCGTTGCAGGGGCAAAGGCATAGGCAGCGAAATTTGCAGCTTCTCCAACTCCCACTGCAAGAGAAACTCCTGTGAACTCAAAGTGGGAGCAACTCACCATAATACAAGTTTGAGTGTAGTCAGAAAAGCCTCAGCTTCCTCCTGAGCATGCTGTTTCTCGGAGGTATGTTGAGCAAGCAGGGAAGAACAGCACCAGCAAGAACAAGCAGAAGGCCCACACGGGTTCTCTTGGGAAGAGAAGGCTCAGTGATCCTTAGTCACATGTGCCTCTACAGTGAGCAGCAACCACAGCAAAGTATTTCCGCAAAGCTGAAGGGCATCTGTCCTTTTCCTGGAACAGCTTTTTAAAGGGTAAATCAGTTACAGTTGGTTCTTAACATTGAGAAGTGTAAAGTAAAGCTGTTGAAATTGCTGTACATGGTGCTGGATGTGCCATTATCACTACATCCTCAGGGCAGGCCGCTTCAGAAGCACTTAACCCAAACCAGCCAAACCAGCTCCTCAGCTCCTGCTTAGCAGAGAAACTTGGTAATGCACAAGACTTTAGAATAGTTTAATTACAATGAGATCAACATCATCATCAGAAACTTGGATAGAACTCAAGCAGTCAAACAAAAATGGTAGTAAGAAAACATGAAAGTGACTGGAAACAACCACAACCACACTCTTAAAAGGGAAGGCTCTGGAGCGACCTAATTGTGGCACTCCAGTATGCAAAGGGAGCCTACAAGAAAGAGAGAGAGATACTTTTAACAAGGGCATGGAGTGACAGGACAAGGGGGAATGGGTTGAAACTGAATGAGAGGAGGTTTAGATAAGATGCCAGGAATTGTTCCCTGTGAGGGTGGTGAAGCCCTGGCACAGGGTGCCCAGAGAAGCTGTGGCTGCTCCATCCAGGGAAGTGCTCAAGGCCAGGTTGGACACGGGCTTGGAGCAACCTGGGATAGTGGGTGTTCCTACGGGAGGGGGTTGGAACCCTTAAGGTCTCCACCATCCCAAACCATTCCGTGATCCCATGATAAGTGCGGTAGCACAGTCCGAGCGCGGTACTTACTGCACAGCAGCCCGGCCCACCAAAGCCACTCTCGCAGGTATGCGTGCCCTCCTTGCCCTGAGTGCGGAGGAAACAAACGAGAAACCTCAGATGAAACCAAACAGAATTCTGTTCAGGACCCTCGGGGGATCCAGCGGGAGCAGCGCCCCGGGAGCGGCCGTACCTGCCCGGGCGCGGCCGCACAGCCGGAGCAGCCCCTTCTTCTTCAGGACGAAGCTGCCACCGATGAAGGCGCTGGAGGCCAGGGCCAGCCCCAGCCCCGCACCGAACCCGGCCCCCATGGCCACGGGCACCTGCCGGCGGGGGGGGCCGGAACGGGCAGGGAGCGGAAGGGGCGGTGCGCGGGCCGGCTTCCGCGGGGCGGCACCGGGCCGGGAGCGGGGCTGCGGGCGGCTCTGGCGGCCGGCCTGGCCTCGGGTCTCCGTGCAGGAGCCTTCCCCGGGCGAGGTGACGGCGTGTTTGTGGCGGAGCTGGAGGAGGCGGCATGAGCAAGGGCAAGGACGATGCTCCGCACGAGCTCGAGAGCCAGTTCGTGCTGCGGCTGCCCCCGGTAAGAGCTCGCTCCGTGCCGGCCCCTCGCGGCCACACCGGGCTCGGCCCGGCTGCCCGGCCAGCACCGGCTGCCGCAGGCGGTAACAAGGCGGGGGGAAACTGCGGCTCTGGGATGTGGAAGCAGGCTGGGTGCTTTGGGGCCTGGGTAGCCCCTTCCCACCCTTTGGAACGGATTTTCCACAGCCTTCCCTGGAGAGGTGTTCCTGCCACTCAGAGCAGGAGGCTCAGAGACAGCCTAGAGGGTTTGGGAGGACCTTTCTGTAAGGGTTTAACAAGTGCTGGCTTTTTATTTGCAGTGGCTATACATCCCCTTGCTGCTGTTTGTTATATGCGTAAAGCTGAGGCCCTTTTTGTGGTGCCCAGTGACTGGATGATAAAGTGAAGCCAAGTTTTACCTCACCATGAGGAAGAACTTTCCGTTGAGAGTGGCAGAGCACTGAAACGGTGGCCAGGGAGGCTGTGGAATCTCCCTCTGGAGACATCCCAAACCCACCCGGATGTGTCTGTGTATCACCTGCTTCAGGTGTCCCTGCCTTGGCAGGGGGGTTGGACTGGGTAATCTCTTTTTCCTCCCCCAGTTATTCTGGGATTCTGTGAGGAGCTCTAACTGCTCACGGTGCTGTGGAGCTCTGGCAGGTGTCTCTGTCAGGGACCTCACACCACTGTCACAGCTGTGTTGTGCAGGGGCATGGAGAGCACTGGGAACAGCAGAGCCACGTTAACATGGTGTTTGGACGTTGCTGTTCACTGTGGGTCCTGCAGTTGCTGTCCAGCTGTGGATGGCAGGTGTTTAAAGCTGGGTAGGTTGGGCAGAAGCCTTTGGTAATTCTTGGAGGAAGCATACCAGCTCCTGAAGAATTCCCTTCTCAGGAATATGCGTCGACTGTGCGGCGAGCAGTCCAGTCCGGGAATGTCAACCTGAAGGACAGGCTCACCATTGAGCTGCACGGTGAGTGAGCAGCACCAGGGCATCTGCTCCAGCCCTGCCCACAGCTGGAGCTGTGCCACCTGCACGTGTTGTCCTGTGAAGTTCCTGCTGCCCAGGGCTGTATTTCCCGGGGTGGCTGCTGAGGCACAGCCCTGACCTGCCCCCTGGTTCTCCCCAGCGGACGGGCGCCATGGGATTGTCCGTGTGGACCGGGTGCCACTGGCAGCCAAGCTGGTGGATCTGCCCTGCATCATCGAGAGCTTAAAAACCATTGACAAGAAAACCTTCTACAAGACAGCAGATATTTGCCAGGTATGAGCTGTTCTTCATGCCTGCACCAACAGCTTAATTCACTGCTCCCCCTCCAGGTAAACCCCTGTACACTTTGGCAACTGGACACCCATTATAACATACCCAATTCCTGTATCTCACAGTACTAGCAGTTTAAAATTCCCCATTCCACTTGGTTTTTAGAAACTTCATTCCTGAAGTGTGAAATGTGATTGTCCTTGTGGCAGCTTAACTGCTGCTGTATCCAGCTGAGCTGGGGGTGCAGCTGTGTTTCCCACACCCTGTGCCCCTGAATCCCCTTGGCTGACAATGTGCGGTGGGCAGTCACTGTTCCCTCACATCCCTGTGTTCATGTGGGGATTCCAGATGCTTGTTTGCACTGTGGATGGTGATCTGTACCCACCTTTGGAAGAGCAAACAGTGACCACTGACCCCAAGGCAAACAAGAAGAAGGACAAGGACAGAGAGAAGAAATTCATATGGAATCATGGCAGTGAGTAGAGGCTGTGCAAACCCCTCCACCGCAGCACCCCACAGCTGCCAGGTTCTGGCAGTGCTGCTGCTCTGTTGCAGAAGGGATCTTCTCCCTTCTGAAGAGACGTGCTTCTCTCACTGGGCCATCTGCCTGACACATGAAATCTGTCTCCTCTGTCACAGTCACTCTGCCCCTGAAAAATGTCCGGAAGCGGCGATTCCGGAAGACAGCTAAGAAGAAGGTGAGTTGCTTCTCACCCAGATGTAGATGAAATACCCAAGGGCTAGGAGGGCAGAGACATTAGAGCTGTAACTGTGATTGGTCCAGAAGTCATGTGTTTTCTAACATTTGTTCACTTTCCTTGCCTGAGATGAGGGTGAGGGTAGGGTAGTAGATTTAAACACTTCTTTGGGTGCTTCCTCTGTATTTTCCAAGATGCTCCTGAGGGGAAAGTCCTGTGTTCAGAGCACTGATGGACTTCATTCCTGTGGCTGCCTTGCCAAACCACATCTCTTCCTGCTCATAGAGAAGAAAGGAAGAAAGACTCACATGGAAATGAGGTTTCACTCATTCCTGCTTTTCCAGCTTAAATCTTCTCTTTATGCATGGCCCATTCCCTTCCCCAAATAGTACCACTGTCACTTCTGCTGGGGGAGTGACAACAGATGGAGCTCAGAGACTGTCTCTGTGCATTTGCACAAGCCAGGCAAGGTGTTGGGGAGATGCAGCACCCTGAGGCTGGGAAGACTTGTTCTTCTCTCCTTTGCAGTTTCTGAGAACAGGGTTGAGTGTGATTTTGCATGACATTTGGGAAGCAAATTACTTGAGACATTCTTGTAGCCCACAGGAGAGATTTGATATCACTGCAGTAAAATTCCTGACTAATTTAAAAGTGAAAAATGAAGTCTTTTTTTAAGTGGGATGGGAAGGATTTGAGTTCAGTTGAGTTGACCGTCAACACCTCAAGGACTTTCTGCATAGACACAGAAAGTCTTACAAAATACATAGTATAAACAGAAAAGTGAGAGCACTCAACCTACCAAGGTACAAAAAAGATGGATTGTTTTTTAGGGGGTGCAAATTACTTCACAGTTAAATATGAGCAAATTCTGAGCAGAAAGCAGAAGATAAGAAAGCCTTGAACCAGTGCTCTATCCAGAGGTGGAGCCTTGTAGTTGGCCAGCACCAGCAGCATGCACAAGGCATTTAACAGTGTCTCTGCTCTCTTTCCCCTCTCTGGCCCAGTATATTGAGTCTCCTGATGTGGAAAAAGAGGTGAAGCGTCTCCTGAGCACCGATGCTGAGGCTGTCAGTGTCCGTATCCTTTTAGTGGGGAAAAAAGCTCAGGAGGAGGACAAGGACATGTGTGTGACCTGGGGGTTCTGGAAGGAGCTTTGCATGGGTGTGGGACACTGGGACATGAACACACAAGAGGCACCGAAGTTTTGGAGCTTCATCTTTGCCTTGTTCAGAGTTAATTGTTTCCTTAGGGTGACATGTCTTGTGGACTGTGCTGTTGTAGTGAGAAGGAACTGAAATAGTGGAGGAAAAGTCATTAGGAAAGTCATGGGATGTTTCATCCTGGGGATCCATAGGTACAAGGCCAGACTGGATGGAGTGGCAGTGATCTGCCATTTTTAGCCTCTTCCATCACAACTGCATCTTCCAAGTTCCTCTTTTTCCCTTGACTCACCTGTTCCTGCTTCAGGCTGGGAAGTCATTGCTGAAGACGAAACAAAAGAAGTGGACAACCATGGTTCACTCACCAGCCTGGACATCTCCTCCCCAGGGATGTCAGGGCATAAGCAAGGCCATGGCTCAGGTGCAGTGGGGAAGGCTGTTTTATTTCTAGGTGTGGTCCCTGGCAGGCAAAGGGCACTGGCAGGTCATCAGGTGTATTTTAACTCTTTTGCCCCCATCTAGAACACGATGAGCTGCGGGAGATATTTAATGACATCAGCAGCAGCAGCGAGGATGAAGATGAGAGGGATCATCATGATGATGAAGACCTGAACATCATGGACACTGAGGAAGACTTGGAGAGACAACTGCAGGACAAGCTGAATGAGTCTGATGGGCAGCAGCAGGAGAATGAGGGGTCCAACCAGATCGGTGAGTGGCCAGCAGAGCATGGCAGAATTGTTGGGATGCCGGGCAGGCTGTGCTTCCCAGCTCTGCTCTGCTCTGGGCCTGAGCTCGCTCTCCCTTCCAGCCATGGGCATCCAGAAACAGATTGACAACCTGAAAAGTAAACTCCAAGAAACTCAAGACAGGAGGAAGCGCCAGGAAGATCTCATCATGAAAGTGGAGAACCTTGCCCTCAAGGTGAGAGCTCTCCTGGGGTCTCTTCAAACCTGCTTAACACTGGCTTGCCATTAGATCCAGCAGGCTGATTTGGAGAAGCCAGGAGCCTTTGCCTGCTGGGTTAAAAATAGTTGTGGTGTGGCCATACACACTCCAGCATTTCTCTGTGGAGGCAAAGTAATCTGTGAAACTGGAGGAGACAAGGGGGTGGTTGTCACTGCAGCATGTGACGTGTGGTAGCACCCATTCTGCTGAGAGCACACTGGTAGCTGTGGTCTCCATGTTTGTGTCTGCAGACCCGTCTCCAGGCCGTGCTGGACGAGTTCAAGCAGCAAGAAGAGAGAGAGAAGCAGCAGGTGAGGAAACTCCCACAGTGGAGTTGGAGGTACTGGGGCACAACACTGCTCTAGGCTTGGTGTGACAGAGTTCCCTGAGTCTTCTAGCACACAGCTGCTGTGAACTCCAGGTTACAGGTCAGGTGGGGGTGTATCTGTACCTCAGGTGGGGTTGTATCTGTAGTTGCACGGAGCTTCCCAAGGCAGAAGGAGATACAAGGAGTAGGGTTGACTGCAGCCCACCTTCTGGAGGAGCCAAACCATGTCCAGTCAGCAGTCCAGAGCTCTCAGGATTGCTGCTGGGGTAAAACACAACACACAAACCTGTTAGCACCCCTGTAGAAGGGGTGGCAGAAGGAAGGCAGTGGCTGTAGGGCTGTGGCAGATTTCCTGCCTGGGCAGCTCTGTTCCAGCCTGGTACCAGGGAAGGAGGTTCTCACTCTCAGATCCCTGTGGGCAGTGCCAGTCCTGTCCCAGAGGAGCCCAAGCACAGCTCCAGGCAACACCCAGGGAGAGCAGCCACTGGTGTGGGTAGAAGATGTGCAAGAACACAAAAATGCTGGGGCTGCCTGGGGTCCCAGAGGTGCCTTACTGTAACATCTCTCTCTCTTCCCAGATGGCATCCCTGCAGGAGCAGCTGGAGTCCCTCATGGAGAAGTGAGCAGTGGGCCTGGGTCTGTGAGCAGAGCTGGAAGTGGCGGTCACCTGCCACACTGCCTTGCTTTAGTCACACACTTCTGCTGCCATGTGCTGCTGGGCAGTGGTACAGGGTCCATGTCCAGAGCTGATTTCACATCCACTGTGCTGGGTTTGGCTGCTGGAGCTAAAGTATTGGACTATGCCTGTGAGAGCAGCCAAAACAACAGATTTACTGTCAGCACTGGCCTCCCAGGACAGCATGGTGCTGGTTTCTGCATCCTAATGAGTCTTGGGTTTGATGGGCTGTGGCCTGGTAAGAGTTTGTTCTTGCGTTTGAGGAGTGCTTATATCTGCAAACTCAATAAAGTTTCCTTTTCAACGCTGGTCTGCTCCTTTGTGGTCTCCCAACCACACAGTCCCTGGCAGGGAGCCATGCCTGGGCACCTTTGGTGGGGCACTGCTGGGCTCCTTCCCAAAGTGCTCTTTGTAGAGCTGGGTCAAAAGTGCTGGCACTCAGTGGGAGGAACGAGGCCCTCCTGATCAGGGGGTTCCTGTAATTCCTCACAGACTATGCAGGCAAATCCCAGATTAACCTGACAGGGTGGGAAGAGGATTAGAAGGGCGGTTACAGAAAGCAACAGAGGACACTGGGGGCTTCAGCAAGTGTGTGCTAGGAGGGGACAGCCCTCTCACAACCCGAGGGCAGGGGAAGAAGGCTCTGCCCCCAGCACAGAAAGGAAAAGGTCAGCAGGAGCCCTGGAAAATGTGTATGTCCAGATAATCCAGAAAGAGACACCTAAGGAAGACGTGGAGCTCTAGAAGGGCCAAGAGTGCGATCTGTGAGCAGCCATGGAAGAAACCTACCTGCTGAATGTGGAAGGGGTCAGAAAGAAGATTCTGCATGGAGGCCAAGGGGAGCTGCCGAAGTTGCAGGATGGGAGCAAGGTAAATGGTCTGGGTTGTTCCTCCAGAGCCCTGGGAGAGGGAGTGGGTCTGACATCCCTGCCCATTATGGCTCACCAGCCCAGCTCCAGGTCTGGGAAGACTGAGAGCCCTCACAGCAGGGGTGCAGGAGGGGCTGGTTTGGGCACAGGCAGCCAAATTCCTCACAGTGACAGCTGGCAGTGCCCACGGCCTCACCTTGCACCGGGCCTGGGACACCCCCTCCCCCGGCACCCTTAGAGCTCGGCAGCCTCGGTGGGCTGCTGAAACCTGCCTTTCCTGCCATGTGCCAAGCAGGACCGAGATGTGCCAATGGGCTGCTCCTGGGAGACTCCCCAGCCTCTGATCACTGTGGGTTCCACCAGGCCCTGGAGCATACTGTGAGAGCTCTCTCTGCATGGGGCAATAAAGGGGACCCGAAGGGAGAAGGGAGCTATAGCATGGATGGATGTTAGGACATTCCACCATCTGCGTGCTGTCTCAAGTGGGCAAGAGGCACAATCTCCTGCTGTGGAGGGAGAGCTGCCAGTCAGACCAGCACAGTGCTGGGAGCAGGCTTGACCCCACAGCTGAGGTCATGGTGGCTGCCGGGGGGGTCTCACCACTGGGCCCTCTCTGGGCCAGTTCACCTTCCACTTCCAGACGCTGAAGGATGACTTTGAGCGGACGGTGATCGATGACAGCCGGGAAGCCGGCATGCCCATGGAGATCATCGTGGGCAAGATGTTCAAGCTGGAGATCTGGGAGACGCTGCTCAGCTCCATGAGAACTGGGGAGGTGGCGGAGTTCTGGTGCGACGCCATTGTGAGTGAGGGGCCCAGAGATGCCCATTTCCCTCCTTCCTGCAGAGACAGGACACAGAGCCACGCATCCCAGAGATGCTCTGGCCATGTCTGGTGCAAACACAGCCTGTCACTTGGCCTCAGCACCGGGAGGCTGCCCCAGACAAGGGGGTGCAGCCCCCCCAGGGCTGAGTAGGGTGCTCCCTCCTTGCAGCACACAGGCATGTACGCCCTGGTGTCCAGGGGCATGCGGAGGATCGCGGAGGGCCGGGACCCCCTGGAAGGGCAGAAGCACCGCTGTGGCATGGGCAACATGTTTGACTACCACAGCACGGGCTACGAGGACCTGGACGAGCTGCAGCGGACGCCACAGCCTCTCATCTTCATCATGGAGCTGTTCCGGGTAAGGGGATGCTGGGGATGGCTGCCAGAGCGGGAACAGCCGGGACAGCCACTCAGCTCCTGCTTGGGCAGGTGGAGGACCCCTCAGCGTACAAACGTGACACCTGGGCCATGAGCAAGGAGGAGAAACTGGCAGCAGTGCCCGTGCTGCACAGCGAGGGCAACCGCCTGGTGCTGCGCAGGGAGTTCGCACAGGCGGCCGCCAAGTACCAGGAGGCTGTCATCTGCCTCAGGAACCTCCAGGCCAAGGTGAGCAGCACCAACACCTCCCCATCTCTGCCTGGGCCACACCTCAAAGCCCTTCCCTGTGTGCCTTGGTGCCTGGGAGGGGATGGACACAGCCGTGAGCTGCCCTGGGTTGCTCGGGGGGCAGGAGAAGCCGTGGGAGGATGGCTGGCTGAAGCTGGAGAGCCTGGTCACGCCGCTGGTGCTCAACTACTGCCAGTGCCAGCTGGAGCTCGGCGAGTACTACGAGGTGCTGGAGCACACCACGGAGCTTCTCCAGAAGCACAATGGTACCTGTGCCCTGCATCCCACCCCTGCTGTGCCCATTCAGAGGATGGGCTCCCGGGGACTCCATCCTCTGAATCCCCTACCCTGACAATGCTCATCCTGCGTCCCTCTGCCTGTGATAGTGCCTGTGTCATCTGGATCCCTGTGTCCCAGTTTGCCCCCACCCACCAGCATCCTTCCCCTTCCCATGATGATCCCTGCACTCCCTGTGCCCTGCTGTCTGCAGTGGCAGTGCACAGCCCAGGTGTCCCTGCCCTCCCTACAGGTGTGTCCACCCTACACCCCACATGTGCTTGACGTCCCCTGGTCCCCAGGTCTCCAGCTCCTGTGGCTGGTGGCCCTGAGCTGCAGGACGCCCACTGAGGGCTCTCCTCTCCTGGCAGACAATGCCAAGGCCTATTTCAAGCGGGCAAAGGCCCACGCCGCTGTCTGGAACGAGAGGGAGGCACGGGAGGACTTCCAGCGCGTGGCTCACCTCGACCCCTCCATGGCGGCCGCGGTGAAGAAGGAGCTGAAGCAGCTGGGGGAGAGGATGAGGAAGAAGCACGTGGAGGATCGGAAGCGCTACCAGGGCCTCTTCCAGTCATCCCAGGGTGTGAAGGCCCGTGAGGGGCAGGAGAGCAGGGAGGTGGGCGATGGGGCACCTCAGGGGGAGGCTGGGGTCCAGGAGAGCCCTGGGCAGGGGGAGCAGGGTGCTGAGACCAGAGCCACAGAACAGTCCAGGGCTCCCCAGGCAGAACAAGGGACCCCCAGGGCTGGGGGTGAAGGGGAAGCATCAGGAGGAGAAGAAGTCCGGGGAGAGCCTGTGGGAGAAGAGGTGGAAAGGAGGGATCACATAGCAGTGGGGAAAGAAGAAAACCTGGACACCTGTGGGGCAAAGCCAGAGAGCCTGGGAACAGAGGAGAAAGATGAGAAAGATGAGGGGGAAGAGGAGAAGAAAGAGGAAGAAAAAGAGGAGAGCAAAGAGGTAAAGGTAGGGAGGGTTGCAGAGGAAGAAGATGGAAAATTTGAGGAGGAGAAGGAGGAGGTAGACAAGGAAGAAAAGGAAGACAAAGTGGAGGGGGGAGAGAAGGTGGAGAGGAGAACAGAGAAAAAAGATGAGAAATTAAAAGAGGGTGAAGAAGTAGAGAAGGAAGAAGAAAACAAAGAAAAAGAGAGGGAGGAGGAGGCAGTAGTGAAAGGAAAAGAGAAGGACAAAGAGAAGGAGTGTCTACCAGCAAAAATGGAACAGCTTGAAGCAGGGCAATGTGGGACAACAGGGGAGACAAAGGCAGCTGGGCTACCGCAGGGCTTGGAGCAAGGAGCCAGCAGAGCAGAGGGAGCTGGCACAGGCAGCGAGGCCCAGGCTCAGCCAAAGAGAGCCCCACATCTGGGGCCTCCCAGCGAGGGGACCCCAGGGCTGGAGGATAAAACATCTGGAGAGGCTCTGGGAGAGGTGAGCGGCAGGGAGCAGGGAGCAGGCAGGGGACAAGAAAATGCTGGGGAAGGCAACATCCCCCCAGAGAGCTTCACCCCTGGGGAAGGTGAGGAGCTGGGTGGAGGGGCAGAAATACCCCCGTGCCCCATAGCAGCCAGAGAAGGGGGTGCTGCACCCCTGGAGCAGTGCAGCAAGGAGCAGGGCAGTGACCAGCCCTGAGCAGGGTCAGCTCCCCTGCCTGGGGTACAGCTGCCAGGCCACTGCCAAAGAGGCACAGCACAGGCAGCAGGGCTCCTGTACCCGGAGAGGAGCCCCGGGGCTGGGGACTGGCCCAGCAGTGACACGGGAACAATGCTGTCCTCACCCTGCCACCGCCGGGCACACCCCTGCCCGACTCAGCGGCTCCAGCGCCTTTCAGCTGGGTGCCACCGAGCTCTGCTGGCTGAGAAATAAAAGCTCTTCCCTGGCACCGTGGGCTGGATTTGTTCCTGAGCGTGACCAGCTTCCCTGAGCACATCCCACAGCTCCTGCCTTGCCCTGAGCCCGTGGCACACGGATGGGGCAGTCTGGGGCTGCTTTCAGAGGGGTGGTCAAGGAGGCTGCATTTCACCCCCCTTAAGCTCCTGAATCTCTCCTGTGTGAGTGTCCCCACCCTGCCCTGCAGTGGCACCGTGTCAGGCCTTTCCCAGCGCTGCCAGCCCTGCCAGGCAGGGTGAGAGCAGGTCCAGCCCAAAAACTGTCTGTCCTGGGCAGGCTTCACCATCAGCCAAGTCCGGGCAGGGGACAGAGCCCAAGAGCCCCTGGCCTTGCCCTGAACTATTCCTCTCTGAATCCCTTACTGTGCCACAAAGGCACAGCAAACACGGGCAGCACTTGGGGCTGGGGTACCCAGACACCTCTGGGCACTGAAAACTTCATGGAGCTCCAGAGAGGAAGGAGGAAGAGGACTGCCTTGCCCACCCAGCACCCCACTGCTGTCTGCCTCCTGCCTGGGGCTGAAGGGTTTCCCACAGCCAAAGTTCCTGGGGGAATGAGGGACTGTCCCCACATAGCCCCTGTCCCACCCCTCACCAGCCACATGGCCTGGACAGGCCTTGTTGGAAGAGGATGAGGATGGTGGCTGGGGGACACGCCTGTGTCTGGGGATCCTGGGGCTCTGCTCACAGCTTTGGCTCTGCCTCGAGTGGTGTGGACAGCCAGGGTGACAGTGCAGGCTGTCCCCAGTGCAGGAGCAGTGCCAGCATGGCACAGCCACGGGGGCTGGCTCAGCCAAGATACACGGATAGAAGAGGCCAGAGCACCGATCCAGGAGTCAGTATAAATACAAATTTATTCTCTTTCCAGAGCAGAGATGCCACAAAGCAGTGAGGACAGCAGCACCAGAGTACATAGTTACCAGAGCATTAGCCAGCCTGCTCCCCTCCCTCACACATCCTGGCTCCCAAACACAGCCCAAGACCCAACCTGGCCACCTCTGCTCCCCACACCTGCCACTGGGGCCAGCAGCTCTGGTCCCACAGAATCCTGCCCTTTTCCTTCCTCCAGTGCCCCCCAAGGCTGGATACTCCTGACCACACCCTCAGGCCAAGCCTCACCCTGCTGCTCCCCACGCTGCTCCCACCCTGCCCCTGGGAGAGCAGAGGGGGCCAGCTGGGTCTCACAGGCTGGCCCGGGGTCACTCTCACCCACAGCCTGACACAGCATGCCCAAAGCCACCCTAATGCCACCACACTGCCCTCCTGCCACTCACCTGGCCGGCAGAGGGGACAGCAAGGACAGCCACCCACGCTGCTGCCAGCAGGCACTGGAGCACTACACGCTGAGCAGCCCTGGCTGTAAGGCTCACACCGCCTTGTCCCTGGCGCGGCCACTGCTCCTCACCCCTGCCAGCAGCCCAGAGCCAAGCCACAGCCCTGCTCACAACCTCCCGGACACTTCAGCACCGTGTCCCGTCCCAGGCAGCACCAGCAGCCTGGCTCTGTCCTTGCAAGCCCCGTTAACCGGGGTGTTTCCCCCCGGTGCCCTGCCCCGAGGGCTCAGGCCTCTCTCTCCTCCCCACAGCCTGTGGCTCCAGAGCAGCAGGGCCATGGCAGCCCCGGCTCTGGGTCACCCTGCAGCACCTGCCTCTGCCTCTCTCGACATAACACAGCCCAAGACAGCCAGCCCGAGGGACCCCTGGGCACAGGAGCCACCACCCCCGGGCTGCCCTGGCAGCTGGCAGAGAGCCTCCCTGCTCTGCCCCGCTCCCAGGGACGGCCTCCAGCCCCAGCCCAGCCCCGAGCTGGGACAGCAGCGGGGCAGCTGCTCCTGGGGACAGCCAGCAGGTGCCCTGCCTGTCCTGCTGCCACCCACGCTGCCAGGCACTTGCATCGCACCAAGGTGGCCTCAGGGCTGGAGAAACCCCCCCTGCAGGGGCTGAGGCTCCCCAGGCACGGAGCCGGCTCTGTGCAGGACTCTGCCATAGCAAAGGCACAGATCCCCAGGAAACCAGGCAGGGTGAAGGACCTGCTGTGGGTCCAGCCCTCAGTGAGCTCCCTCACAGCAGCCCTGCAAGGCAACACCAGCAACAGGGAAGGTGCTGCTTCCCCTGGGCTGGTCTGAAAGTGAAGGGCAGCTACACTTAAGGTATTAGAGTTTAATAGAGTGAGTCCATGAGAGTATTTAAGTACAGTATATATATATATAATATATAGAAATATATGCAAATTAAACAATAAGGCTCTGTTATAAAGACCCTCTCAATATAAGGCTACTAGCTGGGCTGAAGCTCTAACATGGACTCAATCCCTACTCCATAAACCTCACAGACTCTCTCCTGGTGGTATGTGCCTGGCTGGCTGCAGAGCCTGGGGTGGCAGAGTTCAGACATAAGGCTGGCAGCTGGTCACTGTTATAAAGAGTTATTTTAAAAACTGTGTGGCTCCAGGAGTGTTTTGGTACCCATAGACCTGGAGGCTCGTGGGCACAGATGAAGAGTGGGATGCTAAGCTCTGCATCCCCTGAGGGCTACAGGGAAAGGCAGCAGCCCCTGCGTGCCAGGGGAGACTGGCAGTTTTCATGGCTTCAGTTCTTTCTTCTCAACCATCCCACCCAGGCTTGGACACTGTGGCCAGTGACCAAAGCAGCCTCCTGGGGAGCCCACAGTCCCACTCCTGCATGACCTATGTTCCCCTGAGATCTTCTGGAGCTGGCAAGCATCCTGCACCACCAGCTCTGAGGGAGTCTGTGTGAGGTCTGCTGCAGCACAGGGAGCATGGCAGGGAGAGAGGGGGAGGAAAGCAGCCAGGTAGCTGGTTAGGAAAAGCCTCTGGCTCACAGGAGGTGTTAGATAAGGGAGGTCATACCTGAAAGAGAAATAGACAGGTCAGGAAAACAGGACCCAGAGCCACCTGGTTAGAAGGGGGCTGCTGCAGAGCCAGGAGGATCCTGCTCAGGGATGGCAGAAAGTGGGCAAGAGTCTGCATGGGCAGATCACCACCTCATGTTAGTGCTGGCACGAAGCAATGTCTCCCTCTGGCAGCCTGGGCAAGAGACCAAGTGCTGCCCCTGCACTGAGCACAGAGGGAAGGAGCAGAATGACCAACACCAAAACCCACTGAGTGAGTGGAGTGCCATCCACACACACAACCCCTCCATCCCTGCTGGGAAGAGCTGTCCACGAGCAGCCAGGAGAGCCTGCACCATTGCTTCCATCTCACCAGGCCTCTGGGGCCACGACCTCTCCTGCAGAGGGGTCTGGACAGGGATGAAGGCAGGAGGGGCCCAAAGCTCGCTGCAGGTGGTGCTGGCAGGTCTGTCCATCCTCACGGTGGGAGCCCCGTGGGGTGCAGGTCCTGAGCAGGGCAGAGGCTGCCTTGCAACTCATCACAGGGATCTGTTTGGTCTGTGCTCTTGGCAGCTCTGATGGCCTCTCCTTGCAGGTGTGAAGCCTCCTCCTCCTCCTCAGCTCCCAGGCCACACACCCGTCCCAGCAGCACTGCAGCAGCAAAGCTCTTGGCTGAAGCACTGCAGGTCATCAGCTGTTGCAGGGAAGCTGGGATTGGGGCAGGGCTCTGTGGGGAAAGCCTCACCTGAGGAAGCAGTAAGGAGAGAGAGAGGAGGTTTCACTCAAGTACCTCGGGAGCTGGGGAAGGCGCTCCGCAGCTTCTCCATTATGTCTTCCAGGCACATGCTGACTTCCTGGGTTTTGGCTTCCACCTCATCTGCAGAGGCAAGGAGGGCAGGTGGGTAGGAAAAGGCTCTCTGGACATCCACCTGGCTGCCAGCATCTCTGCAGGATGGCAGGGTGCAGGCAGCTTCCTGCAGCATGGGAACAAGGGAGCAGGGCCAGGAGCTCAGCCCAAGCGCAAAGCTCACCTGCAGTTTCAGTGTCAGGGGTGTTGTGCTCTTTCTCCTTTGCCTGGCTGCCTTCTGACTGATGTGGAGATGAAGCCAAGGAGGAGGCTGCTGAACCATTGCCTTCTGACTCTGCTGGAGGCTGGAATGAGAAGAGTTGTTGTGAGAAGGTTGTCATGACCCTCTGTCCCTGGCTTCCCCTTCTCTGCCCATCCCTTTGTGCCTCTGTCCCAGCTCTGCTGTGGCAAAGCCCACCCCAGCCTTGCTCTGAGCATACCTGCAGCAGCAGCTCCCTCAGCCTGTGCAGCTGTGACTCCAGCTGCTTGTTGTGGTCCTCCAGGATCTGCATCCGTGTCTCCAGGCGGCTCTTGTGCTGCCGGAGGATCCGTGCTTCTGCCAGCAGCTCCTCGTTACGTGGGTCTTGCACTGATTCAGGAGAGCCTGTGGCCAAGCTTGGAGACTCCACTGCCTCGTCATGCTGCCATTTCAAACGTCTCAGCTCTCCCTGGAGGATCCTGCAGGACAGCCCAGGTCAGCATCCCCTCCATCCTGCCTAGAGGCTGCTGGAAACCCCCAGGAGCTGCACACTGCGGGTGGCCCACGACTCAGACAAAGCTTTGCCATTTGTGAGGCCTAAGGGCCAGGATGCTGCACTGCAGAGTGGCCTGTCTGTGGTTCTGCCCCACCCAGGGGGTTCAAAGATAAGCAACCACTTTCCAAGAGGTTGAAAACAAGGGCAGGGAAAGCATCACCTCCTCCTGAGCTGGTGTGCCCTGCCTAGAGCCTCACCCTGGTCCACAGCAGCAATACCACTGTTCATGAGGGGCTCAGGGACAAGAAAGACGGAGTGCCCTGGGCCCACTTTAGCTCATTTGGAGTTCAGGAGGGAGCAGGCTCTGTGGATGTAGGAAGGAATGTTTTGGGGAACAGAGTCTTCTCCCTTCCTTGAGAGCAGACTCTCACTGAGTTTCAGTGCTCAGCTTAGCCACCCTCCAAAACTGCCCTCTCAGCATCTGCAATCCCCACCTCCAGACCCAGCAGCATCCCCTGCCTCCACTCTGAGCTCTACAAGGCTTCTCCAGTCCCTTCCCCTGTCTCAGTCCACAACCCCCACCTTCAGGTTGCCCATGTCTCTACCTGTTTTCATCCTCTAAGTGGGCCAGGACTCTCTCCAGCTCTCCCTTGTCATCCATGTTGAGGCCTCCTGGACCCTGCTGGCTGCCCCCAGGCTCTCTGTCCGTGATGGGGCTGGAATGGCGCAGCAGGTACTGGTCCTCATCCCTGTTCCAGCAGGTGGAGAAACACATTCATTAGGAAAATCACGGGATTTGTGTGCCCTTGGAGAAGGACAGCATGGAGGGAGGCAGTTTCACAGGGAAGCTCCTGGCTGCTCCAGGCCTAGAGCTCAGAAGGGGCTCAGCATCCCTGATGTTTGTTTTTGGGGGTGCCCAAGAGCCTCTCACTCAATGGGAGTGGGAAGGAAAGCATTTCTGTACCCTGGCTAGGCATGGATAGAGCCACAGGAGCCCTGACCCATCAGGAGGTGAGGAGAAGGGAAAGGAGAACTCACAGGCTGTCATCAGGGGACAGGCTATCACTGAAGAAGGAACAGTTCTGGCTTTCCATCTCTGCAAGCCTGGAGGGAAGAGAAGAAGGTTGGGATATGGTCAGACACCCTAAATGTTTGCTCAGCTACTTGCAGCAGGCCCTGCAAGACCCCTCTCTGCAGGGTCTCCCACCTGGCCTGCACCAATCTGTCCTGCACAGGCCCTAGAGAATTTTGCCTTTTTAAAAACCAAAATACACTGCTGCCCTGGGTATAAATCTCTAGAACAAAGAGCTGCTGCTGTGCAGTTGGCTCAGCCTCCTCTCTCACAAGCAAAGGAAAAGGATGTAAGAATTCCAGCTCCAGCCTAGGACCTGAGCTACAAGTACAGGCTCCCTGCACCCCCTGGGTCCCCACAGCCAGGGCAGAGGCACCACAAACCCCAGGGCAGCAGCAGTGGGAATCTGGCAAAGAGCTCTGGTGAGGACACAGAGCAGAACAAGACACCAAGGGATGTGCCTGCTGAGAAGCCATCCAGCAGCTCATCCTGGGAAGAGCAGGACAGCACATGGAGGCTGCTGCATTGGTGAGACATCTGCTGCCAAATGCATGGTCTTTGCTGCCAATTTGCACAGCACCGCCACATCCCAGGCAGGTTTTCCTGGCTGTGCAGAGTGCTGGGGCAGGTGGAGGGGTCTGTGACCATCTGTGTGCCCCAAAGCCCGCCCAGACCCAGCAGGGTCATGCTCTGTGCCCCAGCAGGACAGCGGAGCCCATGGGGGTACCTGCTGGCAAAGTGCTCGATCCTGGAGTGTGTGTCAGCGTGTGGTAACATCGGGGACGAGGCTGGGCTGCAAGAGATGCACACTGGTCAGCAGGCTGGGCACAGACCGATCCCAGCTGGCTGAGAAGAGCCAGGGAGGGGCTGGACAGAGAGACTGAAATCTCTGTTCCTTCAAGAACAAGGTGGCATATCACCACCAGAGCTCCTCCAGCCCTCCTCCAGGAGCCCTGCATGAGCTGAGATGCTCTTTCCATCCACAGAACTCATGTCTCATTCTGGGCCCAAAGACATAAGCCAGGGCCCAGGCAACTCACGTCTCAGAGAAGTCAGCCTCGAGCACGGACTGGACGGGCAGGTAACCTCTCTGTGGGTGCTTGCTGAAGTACTGCTTGGACCGGAACTTGTTCTTCAGTGTCGTGGCAAAGTCTCTCATGTTCTCACTGGATGTGGTCTGCAGAGACACAAATGGGACACAGGTGCCTGTTTAGTGAAAAGTGGGGGACCACAGCTCAGCACCCTCAATAAGATATCCCCTCAGACTGGGCATGAGCTCCATGGGGGAAGAAGCAGATAAAACTGAGGAAGCAAGGAGGGCACACAGCAGCTCTGTGAGCCTGCCCTGGGGCCTGGCACAGGCCAAGCTGGGCACTGGGGCCATGCATCCTGCTCACCACGAGCCCCAGAACAGCAGGGACACAGGCAGCCTCCAGCACGCACAGGGTACAAAACTACACAAGGGATCCACTTGTGGGACTGCACCAGCCTAAACATCACAAGGCTGCTGCCATCAGTGGGCCCTGCTCTGCACCAGGGCCCTCCCAGCCCAGCCCAGCCCTGTACCGGGGTGTAGTACTCCATGATGGGGTAGTGCAGCTTGTTGCCCTTGCTGGCTCGCCCCGTGAGGAAGCAGGTCTGGCAGATATCCACATTGAACTGCTTCAGGCTCCGATACCTGGGGAGGTCAAGAAGCCATAGGGAAGCAGTGGAAGTCATCAAAACACGTGTTTAAAGCCCAAGAAGAGGTCAGTGGGAGGGGACAGAGGTGGCCTGTGTTGCTCTAACACCCCAGTGAACCCACAGTGCTGATGGCTGCACTCCCCAGGAAAGCATTCTGCTCCTTCCCCTTGGCTGGCACCTGCTCTGCCCTGCCAGGAACACTGCTGGCTGCAGAGCTCCAGGCTCCCCCGAGAGCACAGAGCAACTCAGCTCTGTCCTGCAGGACAGCACACTCTCCCTTGGGGCCAGGGTCCCGTATCACAGCCCTTACCTGAAGCCCTTGATGGGGCACTGCCGGCACACGGAGCACTTGGTCTGGTGCTTCACCTGCTCGGCCATGGTCACCCGGTGCAGCACCGCCAGCCACACCATGGACTGCGGCTCCAGGTTGGCCCACTCCAGGAACTGGGACGCCTCAATGGCAGACTTCCCATTACTCTGGGGAGGACAGGAAGGGGCTGCTCAGAGCTGGGACCTGGCTGCCAGGGGGAGCAGCTCCCCTGCCACCTGGGGAGCCTGTTCCCAGCACAGACGGGCCGAGGGCCGTGGCCCCGCACTCACAAAGCGGAAGCAGCTGCGGATGCTGGGCTCCACATTGCTGCCCCCAAACGCTGCCACCTCCCCCAGCTGGCGAGGGACCTGGATGGCCTCATGGAGTAGGACACCCAGGTGCCGCTGGTCACACAGGCCCCCGGCGTTGGCCACTTGGCTGAAGAGATCTGCGGGCACACAGACACAGCTGACAGCCCAGCAATGGGCAGGCACGGGGAGCAGGGTGTGGGGACACCAGGGACCCCACTGCCCACCCCCTAATACAGACACACAGCTGACAGCCCAGCAATGGGCAGGCACGGGGAGCAGGGTGTGGGGACACCAGGGACCCCACTGCCCCCCCCCTAATACAGACACAGCTGACAGCCCAGCAATGGGCAGGCACAGGGAGCAGGGTGTGGGGACACCAGGGACCCCACTGCCCACCCCCAGCACAGAGCTCAAATACGAGGAAAAATCTGAGCTATGATTAAATTACTTTTACCAGTGTCCTTCCAGCTCCTAATAACCAGTTTAGTGTCTTCTTTGGACAGAGGTTCCATACATCATTTATTAAACAGCACCAGCTAGCCTGTCCTCTATGAATCAGCCTAATCCCTTCATTTAACCCCTTGGTGCTCCCTATGCTACACAAGATTCCCCTCCACAATATTCCACGGTTAAAATGCAGTGAGGAAAGCAAATTGAGTGAAACCTACTTCCCCCAGCTATACACCCCTGGTATTTTCCTTCTGGAAAGCACTGGATAACTTTCCTGTGTGCCTTCTCTGCACTGTTCCTTACAGTGTCATGCAAGCAAGATCACTGCAGCACCAGTCACTCTGCAAAAACACCTCCTAATTTTGGTGGCGTAGGCCTGGGGAGGGAGGGAGAGGTGATGATGCAAGCAGCTTAGTCACTGCAGGAAAGCTGTTTCTTTGCTCTTCCCGTGCAAAGAAGGTCTAAGCCAGGAAACAAAACCACTCCTGTTTTCCCGAGGTGAATTCACACCAGGTTCTAGGGGAGGCAGACAAGGGACTCACACTGGAACTTCTCCTTGACCTCTGTCCCGCACAGACACGCGATGCCCGTCTTGAAGGAGAGAGCCCTCATCTTCCCGCTGCGGCCACTGCAGGACAAGATATTGCACAGGTCTGCAAATGCTCCAGAGTGGGTTTTTCTTGGCAGGGGGGTCATCAAGGCAAGCACACAGCAGGCAGCCTCCCTCACTGGCAGCCACAACCTTTGTGCAGCACTGCCAGCTGGAAGAGCAGCACGGGGGTATTGTACTTGCAGGGACCCTCATGGCAGGGAGGAATGACTGGCAGCCCCACAGCTCAGAGGACACTGAGAGAGGTACCTGTCAAAGACGTTCAGCAGCCAGTTGAGGCTCATGTCCACGCAGAGGGGCACATTGACCAGGATGCCCCGCTCCTCCTCCAGCCGCTCGTAGAGGGCGGTCAGGCAGTGGATCACCTCCACCACGTCCATCGCCCGGTCGCCGGGCTGCAGGTCGTGCTCATTGAAGATTTCCAAAGCCGTGCCCAAGGTGACCATGTCCACTGCACAGAAAGCACAGGCAGAGGGAACAGAGGGGAAATGAGAGAGGTGAGAAGTAAGCGGAGGGAGTTGCTGTCCTGCCCTAACCTGGGGCAGTATTAGTCCCACTTGGGGAAGATGCTGGAAAGGATGGGTGCAGCTGCTAGAATTTCTCTCCTGCCTGTAAACTTCTCCCAAAATACCACATCTCCACCTTGAGCCACCATTCTCTGTGACCTTCCTCCCTCATTTCTGTGTCCAGCCATGGCCATTAAATGCCCCCCATGGAGGGCAATGTGCAGAGCCCAGTGCATGGACCACGTCCCTGTGGGGCTGCTGTGGGGAGGTGAGGGGGCACAGACCCACACAGACCCTACAAGCAGCTGCCCAGAGATGGATCAGTCCTGTCTCCAGCTCTGACAGGGTGAGGGAATTGAGGCACAAACCCAAAACAGGGCTAGGACAGTGTGAGCCGCCCAGCTTTCAGGCTTCTATGGCTGCAGGTTGTACGTGCTACTGTGTTAGCAAGCAGCAATATTTCTTTCCTGAAAGTCTTTCCATCTTTGAGACCTTTAATATTCACAGTACCCAGGGGACTGTGTGCCTTTTCCACACTGTAGCTTCACTCTGTGGATAAATCCTCCCTTCTCCTGTCAAAGCTGCTACACTTGCACTGGGAAGCCCCAGTTTCTGTGCCAGGGAGTATCACTCCTGCCCACCCTCGTGTCCACACTGCCCACGACTGCATATGGCCCTGATCTATCCCTCACTGCTTCTTTCCCACACAGCCACTCTACCAAACTTCTCATGATGGGAAAGCTGCCTTGGCAACCTCCTTGCCCTTTCCTCAAGTATATCTTGAATAAAGAGCACTTATCCAAGTCATTTCTGGAGTGGAAAGAAGGCGACGGTGCAGCATGTGAGGTGCAAGAGATGCACAACCAAAGATGCACAAGCAGCACACAGGAGAGTTCTCCTTTCTTCTTCACCCTTGTTTCCTCTCCACACCTTGCCTGCTGCTGCATGGACACCTTAACAGGGTGGCAAAAGCTTTCTTCCATTTGCTTTACATCCTCCCTGAATGTCCCTGGGACAGGACAGTCTGATCACCACAGTGTTATGAAAATACTCCACAGCCAGGGTTTGACTCCCTTGAGAACCCAAACTCCTCTTACCCTGACTCATTGCCTCCTTCCAGCCCTTTCACAGGATGTCAAGGAGCACAGCTCTGCCTGGGCCCCACTGCTGATCCCCTTCATGAACAATTATTTCAGGAGGAGGATTTTCCTCATCCTGCTGCTGCTTAATTTTGACAGAGCCTTAGGTGAGAGGCTTTGTCAAAAGCTCTGAGCAGCCAAGGATGCTGCATCTATCAGATTCCCACCTGTCTGCTTGCCAGTTCCACCAGAAACTCCTCAGCAGTCTCCAGGGAGCAGCTACCTCTTGGAGAGATGTTTGAACTCCTGTTGTATCATATTCACCTGGCTATGAATCCTCCAGTTTTCACCAAGAGTGCAGAAATCAGGTTTATTGGCTCCCTTCCTCCTCTTTAAGCAGTGCAGCCCTCTCTGTCCCTGACAGTGAGTCTGGTTTCATCTCTCAGTTACATCCGCACCTCCTCCATGCTCCTTTGGAGCTGCTTGGTGAGTTCCTGCCTGATGCCACAGCTTTGTAACCCTGAGCTGGACCACTTTGTTCTCACATCCCTTTGGACAACACCTGCCCTTGGGTCACCTCCACCCCAAGCTGTAAGAAAGGCGCTGACACAGAACTCAGCTTCCCAGGCTGATCTTCCTGGTTTCTCGCCTCAGCTACCTATCCCCTGGTGCCTGCTGCCTTTGATGTGCTGATAAAAGCTTGTGTTAGTTTAAGCCTCCACTGAGGGGGAGCCAGCAGGAGGGAAGCTCTTGCCACACTCACATCGAAGGGCTTTTTGCACCCGCCGCAGCTTCATGGCCGTCCGGTACGCCGAGAACTTGATGTTGTTCAAATCCGCTGCAGGGACACAGGAAAACAAGAATAAAACCACAGCACAACTTCCTTATCTGCAGGGCAGGAAGCAGCAGTTGCAGCTCTCAGACCCCAGCAGAGCACGTGCAGGACAGTGAGGAGCAGAGCCTGGCAGGGGTCACACCCCACTGCTTTGGGGGACCCTGCGGCACAGAGGGGAGAAGGTGGCCTGGGGGAGTCTCACAGGCACCCAAAAAGGCAAGTACTGCTCCAATGGTTCTGTGACAGCCTCCTTACCCAGCGTCTGGTACAACTCTGTCATCTTTGGGTGGTCCCAGCACGTCGTCTGGGCCTGGTGGCTGGAAGCAAAATTGATGGAGACCAAGAGTCAATGTGGTAACCAAAAGCTGCAGTGAGAGATTAAAAAAAGGACCTGGCCAGCGCTGGGAGCAAGTGTTTCAGTGTCTGCAGACACTGCTGCATCCCCCGGAGCACACTTCCCAGCCACAGCAGCATGGAGGATGCCCACAGCAGGATATCCCCACTTGCTGCCGGCCCCTTTCCTTCCAGCTGGGGTTTCCTCTCATCTTGAGCATCCCAGCAGGCAGGGAAAGCCTGGATCTGCCAGGCTGAGGAAGCCCTGCTTCACTGCAGGTGAGTTCTCACTCCAGTATGCCCCCCTCTCCTAATTGCCCAATTCCTGATCCCTCCAGGCCAGAGAAGACCTCGGGCTGTCTGGGAGCACACTCACTTGATGTAGTATGGCACTTTGTTGGGGGAAATGGCTCGCTCCCAGGGGACCTGGACAGAGGCTGCAAGGAGAGAAACACGTGTCAGATCAACACCAAATGCTCCTCTAAGCTGCTGCTGTTTCTGATGCCAGCCTTGGCACAGCAGGACTGTGCCAGCAGGTGGGTGCCTCTGAAAAGGCTGCATCTTCCCAAATCACCAGCTGGAGGTGTTGGTGCAGGCAAGGGGATGCTGCCCACAAAAAAGGCTCAAGACTACTGGTCTTGTTAGAGACATCTTGCCTCTTGAGACAGGAGCTTTGTATCTGGCTGAGCTCAGAACTCAGGAAGAGACATTTCCTGATGTTTTGGATGATGCCCAAGGCAACCTTGTGGTGACCAGTGGGCAGGGCTCATAGCAGATGGGATTTGGGCACACAGACACAGCACTGCCTGTTATGACCAGGCTCAGACACCCAAAGCATCTGTTGTTCCTGCTCTGGGTGCCAGCTGCAGTATCTTGGGAAGATGAGGATTCATCCCACACCAGCTGCCTGCCACCCTATGTTATATAGAGGATGGAAGCCATGGCATGACCCATGGATATTATGGAAAAAGGAAAATATTCCTTTTTCGCAGGTAGCGTATCAATTCCAGCAACTGGAAAAGTCATTCTTCCTTTCAGATAGTATTCAATCTGCAGACAAACACAGGCCAACAAATCCCACTGACATCCAGAGACTCTGCAGGGCTCAGCATTTCCAAGGATGGACCCCAGGCTCTGGAGCACAACCTGCTGCCCAGCCTTTACAGGCCTGAGAGCTGTCAGCCAACAGCTCTGATCTGTAAAAACAGCATCCCTCTGCCTCACCACATGAATGAAAACCTCCTGAAAAGGCACATTTTTAGCCTCCAAATAACCAACACGGGCTATGAGGGACTGCCTTTTCCTGCCATCTGTTGTCTTGCTCTGAGGCTGACACAGTCCCAGTGTCCCCTGGGAGCTGCTGCTGCTGTGAGTGTCACAGCTCTGTGCTCTGAAGGGAAACCACACTCACGTCCCACCCTCGGTCCCGAACATGAGGCAGCACAATGCCAGCTTTGGAGATGCCTCCTGCTTTAGGGGACAATGACTTGACTATGCTGAGCCACTGTACCTGTGTAAGGCTGTGCCATGACAAGGTGCTCAGCATGGCAAGTTGCTTGGGACACTGCTGGCCAAAATCCCCCTCACAAAGCAGGGGGGCTGTGGGAAGGAGGCCTTGGCCCTGAGATCCCAGCTGATGAGGCTGCCTCGGACTGAGCAGTCCACGGGAGCAGCTCTGTGCTCCTGGGAGGCAGCATTTCACCACCTCCACGGCCAAGGCTGGAGCCCCCTCCCAGCCAGACGTACCTTGGTGGACTGGATGTGCTCCGGCAAGGAGTCAATGAAGAGGTCCCCGATGGGTTCCCAGGTGTCCCGCACGCTCTCAGCCTGGTCCAGGGTCGTGCTGAGCTCTTCCATGGCCCCTTTAATCTCCAGCAGCTGCTCCAGGGTGCGTTCAATGTGGCGGTGCTGGTCCACGCAGCGCGCCGTGAGCTTCTCCCACAGCTCGCTGGCCACGTTGGCCTGCTTCCACACAAAGCGGCTGATGTTCTGGATCCGGTGCCGCGGAGACACATCTGGGAGGGGAAAGCAGCGGGGAACAGGGGGCAAAAATGAGAGCCCAACCCAGAGGAGAGAGGGGCAAGGGGCAGAGGGAGGACAGGGAAATGGGAGATAAAAATATCTAGGGAAAACTGGGAGAAGGGAAGGAAAACAAGTAATAATAGTATCCATCTCTGCATCAGCTCCTCTAGGTATGCAGCCTCTCTATCCTCACAGGCTGTGCTGCTTTTAAAAAGCTACCCCAGAGCTCATCTGGTGCTGCCTCATGAGGTGCCCCCATCACGGACTGCACCAGGAGCCTCTGCCTTTTCCTGGACAGTGACACTGCTCTGTGCCAGTGTGACCTTTTGCCAAAGGACTGGGCACAGCCTGGGCACCGTGGTGTGAGGCAGAGCACTGATGTGCTGCTTTGTGCCACTGCAGCCACCTCCACTCCACCCTGTCCGGGCCAGCCCAGGAGGAGCTGTGAAACCAGAGATTAAAAAGGGGGCAGCTGCACAGACCTTTGCTTTCCAAAGTTGGTTCTTCTAACTCCTCAAACGGGTGCTGGGAAAGGAAAGCCTGTGCTGACTCCAGGACAGAGTAAATGTATGGCCCCCGAGACTTCACTTCTTCCATGAAAGCCTGCAGAGTAGAGCACAGAGATGAGACAGCAGGCTGAGCCACAAAGCTGTGCCCTGGCTGCCCCCTTGCCAAATGCTGCAGTGATTTATTCACCCCAAGGCACAAACCTCCCTGGAGGCACAGAGAGAAGTCAGTGTTAAGGGAAATATTTTTGTAGTTCAGGGAAGGAATGACCACCTGGCAGAAGGTGGCTCCTGCAGAGGTCTGGCCTGCAGCTTTGCTGGAGTGGGGAGGCAGAACAGCAAGCCCAGAATGGCATTGAGCCAGGGCTGCACAGGAGGAGCTGTTTTATTTATGGTGCTTTCAGAGGCACTGCTTGGGGATGCTCTTCACTTGTGCATGGCCACACTAACAACCCTTCCAGCAGCTGCTCAGCAACAGGTCCAGCTGCTGCAGGAGCAAGGAGAGGAACAGCAGGATGCCCCAAAGCAGCACATCTGCCAGGGAAGACTTCAGAGGCACGATGGTTTAGTATGTCCTCTCCTCCCCTCCACTGCAGCTCCCACACCAGTGCTGTCTGCTGAATGGGCTGTTTGTGCACCAGAGAAGCCCCAGCAAGGATGAGAGACAGCAGCAGTAAACACCTTAATTTTGTTTTCAAGGTAAAAACAACTAAAGCCCAACAGCCACTGGCAGTGGGAAGAAAATGCTGTAAACCTGGGAGCAGGAAACTCTGATCTGCCTGGGTGTACCCTGGTTTCAGGAATGATGATAACATGTTCCTGCAGGCAGCACTCATGTCCCAGCCACAGGATTGCCCCTAGACCAGCCTTCTCAGGCTCCAGGATCCCAAAAGCAGAGGCCAGTGAGAGGCAGGACACAGGGAAGCCACTACAAAGAACAGGGTTCATCACCAGCTGCAGGTGACTCGAGGCTGTAATGTGGGTTTGTTGTCCAAAACCAGATGGGCTCTGCCTTTTCTCAGAGCAGAGATGGAGACACTCCCCTGAGTGTCTGTGGACTGGCTGTGCACGGGCAGTGACAGGAGGCAGGGCTGCCCACGGGAGCCCTCAGAGCAGGGAGCAGGGCAGGCAGCAGGAACGCACCGCGTGTGTCTCCTTCTCCTGCTGCACCAGCAGGACATCGCCCCGCAGGGGCAGCTGCGCCGACAGCTCCTCATCCTTCTGCCCCAGCCAGTCAATGATCTCCTGGAGAGGCACCTGCAGCTTCCCACTGTGGTCAGAGAAGGCCTCCAGCCGAGCCCTGGCAGGAGAGCAAGGACAGTGAGACGACAGACAGACAGACAGGAGAGCAGCAGGTTCCCAGAGGAGGGGAAGCACAGCACCATGGCTGGGTGCTGGGCCCCAGGACCTCCTCAGGGACTGGCAGCACACCTCAGCACGGGCTGTGCCCGACCCCAGGCAGCAGAGAGCCTGCACTGCCACGTGGGGTGAGGCACGGAGGCACTGGGGACAAGAAACTGAAGCCATTCCTCACCCTGGAGCCCAGAGTGGAGGACAGTCATTCTGTGTTTGCCTGTGGGTCAGAACTGCTCTGGCTAGCAAGGGGGGCTTGGAATGGCATTTAACGTCTGGGCAGCTTCCAGGAGCCTTGGATTAAGGCAGGAGACAATTAACACGCCCCAGTTAAGCTCTCTGTCATGCTGGCTGTGGAGCTGCAAACTCTGACAGTCTGGAAGGCATGCTCCCCTCATGCAGTGGAGAGGGCTCCCAGTGAAGGGACGGACACAGAGGAGGTGCAGGCAAAGCCACAGGGCAAAAAGAGACAGCTGCAGAGGTGGCAGAGGATAGAGAGAGCAAACAGGAGGGAAGGAGGGGAGGGAGGAGAGGTTGGGATGGGTAGAAATGGAGGAGATGCTTTCCAGCAAAAGGACATCTGTGTATCAGAGGGGGAGCTGAGCCAAGGTCACTGTGAATTCATGTGGCTCATCAAGCAAAAAAGTTCAAAAACCTCCTGACAATCACAAGCAGCAGGCAAGGCTGGAGGGCCAGGCCAGCCTGGAGCTGCTGCAGGCAGGACTCTTACCGAAGGCTGTGGGATTTTTTTTTTATCTCGTTCCAGCAAAGATTCATCTCCAGAGGGGCCTGGGGCCCGGCAGCACTGCTTGGAGCCCGAGGGGTTACACTCGAAGGTCCTGCACCATCCTGTGAGGCTTCAACCTGGGCAGAAACAGAACCACACTGCATCCAGGGATTGCTGCCTGGTGCTTTGGGATCTTGCCTGGAGACACCCACCCAACTCTGCCCTAACCCTGACTGGTTCTTTGACTCTCAGGGGGGCTGCCCTGTTCCTTAAGTGGTTTGTTAGCAGCTCCCAGGAAACTCCTGGCTGTCTCTGCAAGAAGGATGCAGTGCCAGCTCCAGCAGCATCCAGAGCAAAGGTTGAAGGGAGGGTTTACTGCACATCTTTCTCCTCAGCCATCCAGCAATGAGCTTATCTTGCTGAGAGCTGCTAAGCCAGAGCTGGTCCTTATGTGTCACAGTGCCTGCAGGGCTAATGATGATTTTTCCCATGTTATACAGAGCTGCTGTGCTTCGAGAGGAGGCTGATCCTGCTGTTCCTAGGGACCAAGTGGATCTGCCAACATCCTTTATGCCATCCCCAATGCTGGCACTTGCCACCTGCTCCTCTACAGAGGCTCCAGGATATTCCCTGCCTGCATGGCAAATCTGAGGAGCCACTTCTCCTCCACAGATGCTGCTTCTCCTCCGCAGCTCTCCAGAATGAGCAGCCGTGGGAAGGGTGCTGCAAAAGGCCATGGAGAGAAGACAGCAAATCCCAACCCAGCCAGGCAAGGGAAGCACATCCAGCTGGAAAAACTGGGTTCTGATCCCTGGACAGCAAATCCTTGTTGGAATCCTTTCCTGAGCCTTTAGCACTGTATCACAACACACTCTGTGCATGTGCTGGTGACAGCAACACACAGGATCAAAAGCCCCTCACACAGGACTCAGTGAACGAGAGGGGATTTTCTCTCCAAAAAACACATTTTGTTGAGCAAAACACATGGACACTTTCCCATAAGTGAGACATCAATGAGCTGTGTTGGAGAAATGGCAGCATTTCGATCGAATGCTGCTTTGATATTAGAGAGGTAATTATCCCCAGGTGCTTAATCAACCATAATTAAATGTGTTAGTACTTTCTAAGCAGCATACAACAGGCCAGATAAGGGCAGCTGCCTTGGGGGAAAAGCAGCAGCTCTTTCAAGGGGAATGTGCACATACTTGTCACTTGTGCTGTCCAAGGGCTGGTGGAGGTGTCTGGAGAAGCGATGCAGCCAAGCCGAGGGAAACAACAGGCAGGAGAAAACAACCAGACAAGGAATTTGGCTGCACAGCTAAAAATACCCCCTCCACACCAGTTCTCAGAGAAAAATCAAACGATCGCCAAGACTGGTGCTAAGTTTGATTCATCTAAAAACATCCAACAGGCTGTTCTCTGCCTCCCCATCCTGCCACTCCAGAAACACCAAGAAAACAGAGAAAACCATCACCCACAGAGTTCACAGCATTCTTGGGGCCACAGATAATGATCCACTGAAGCTAAAACTGCTGCTTGCACATATTAAAACCAATACTCTGCATGTGCAGGTGCTCATGGCACCGAAGTAGGTCAGTCCCAGAGCACTGCCAGGGAACTCTCCAGCCCTCCCCTCTATCCCAGGGGACACCAAAGGAAGGGATCAGCTCTACCTGGGTGCACCTGCAGCACAGCTCTGCAGACAACCCAGTCCTCCCAGCCTTACTCCATAAGTTAAAAGCCCACCACGCCTGCAGCTCCCAAGCCTTGCAGATAATCCCGTAGCAGTGACCAAGCCGAGAGCAGGTGCCGAACACCTGCTTCCCTAGGACAAAACCCCTGCAGGCGAGCAGACGGAGAAATAAGTGCTTTCCCTCTGAGCACCCCCTCAGCATCCCTTCCCCAGAGCCCGGCAGCGGCAGCCCGGACCCTCACACCCCCCTCCACCCTGGAACAGGTTTATTTTCGGACTCACGCTGGCTGTGGCAAGCGCCTCCGGCTGCGCTCAGCCCGGCTCGGCCGAGGAGCGGGCATGGCTCCTGCCGGCGGCAGCGCCCGGGCAGCGCCGGGAGCCCGCCGAGCCGGGCACTGACCCCCCAGGAATGCGCAGGGGGCGGCAGCCGCCACAGCCAGCCTCAATCCCAGCTTTGTCCAGCGGCATTCCAGCGGCCTCCAACCTGCCTTAACCCCGCGGCTGCCCTCCGAGCACATGAGGGCAGCGATGCGCCCGCCGCAGGGCAGCCCCAGGTGGGACAGCAGCCGCGGGCAGGGTCACTGCTCCGGGCGCTGCAGAGCCGTCCCTGCGAGGCCCCGGCCAGGGGATGCGCTGGGATGGCCAGCGGAGACCTTGGCCCCGATGCTGGAGCACACGCAGGGCACACAGGGGTGCTTGCCAGGAAAGGGATTTAGCCGGGAAATCATCCCATCAAGCCTCAGTGATCCAGAAGGTAAATAGGTTCTTGAGATCTAATCCCAAAAAAAGTCAAAGATGCCTTTGTTGTCCCCCACGTGCCCCAGCACGGTGTTGGGTACCAGCAGATGTTCATGCCAGTTTGGACCAAGTGCAAATAGTTTCTTTTTGCCAAAAAGCTCTGGACTGGCTTCTTGTGTCCCCCACAGTCCTGACGCCCAGAATTTTTATCATGCTCTCTTCCACCTACAGGGAGGGAAAGAAAAGCTCCCAGTATCTCTCCCTCTCTTCTCTGCCTGCACATCTGATGGGTGCTGACCCTCCCTCTGGGACCAGCACAGCCAGCTCCCCTCCTCAGCACCCCTCGGGTGAGTCCGACAGATGGGAGGGCAGCTCCCAGACTGGAGGAGGGGGCTTCAGTGAGGCCACAGCTAAGGATGGGCTGTGCAGCCTGCCCAGAGCTTTCAGCACCAGCAAGGACAGGACAGGGAGGCTGTTTCCTAGGTGCCAACAGCAGCCCCTTCTAACGGGGAGCTGTCATTAACACTGCTCCTGCCCCCGCTCCCCTCCTCTCTCCCAGCAAATCCCACAGAGCTCTGATCCCCTCACAGAGGCTTGGGCTGCTCAGGCAGGTCAGGAAGGCTTTTCTCTGCTCATCCTGTTCTGTCCCTCTCCCTCCTCACTTCATTTGCCAGGCTGTTTATCAACCACACGTGCACTGGCCCACAGCAGTCTTGCAGCAGCCACCCTGGGACCAAGAAACCCTGGCTCAGCCACCAAGAGCCTGCCCCCTGCCTCATTCTTGCATGCTGGAGCCTCTCCAGAGACAGCTCTGCCTTCCTCCTGCAGATCCCAGCTCCCTGAGGCAAACAGGTCCAGGCTGGTGGTCAGCCACAGTAGGGAGAAACCCCAGGCTCAGCCCTTGCTTCTCATGCTTGAAGCACGACAAAAAAAGAAAAGGCAGAGCTGGGACCTGGTTTGTCCTGGCAAGAACACTGCCAGTGCCCAAGGGAACTTTTGGCATTGTCCAGACAGGTGAGAGGTACCCTGGGACCAAGAGCTACAGGCAAACAGGGATCCACAGCCTGGCAGAGCCCAGGCAGTGTTTCCCCACACCAGGGTGCTAAACCCCCTCATGACAGCTCAGTGCAGAGCACAGGCAGCTTTGCAGACAGTTGCCAGCACACCTTTCTGTTCTTCAATCTGCTCTGCCATTTGCCCAGGGACCCCCAGAGACCTTCCTGCCCCTCTGGTGAGGAGCCTGGCCTGGGGCTCCGAGACCCTGGAGGAAGGAGGAGGGACACCAAGGTCTGTGCCTTAAGATAATTAGATTAGTCAGAGGTCAGATTCCTCCTCTGCCTTACAGCATCCACCAGGGGTTTCTTTCCAATCTCTTCTCTGCAACCAGGAAGAGTAGAAAACCTACATTTTCACCAAAAGCTGACATTCTTCCAAGTTTCCAGGAAAAAAAAAAAAAAAAAAAAAGCCCAACCAAACACATAAGAGCAGTTAACAGTAACCTCTGGCTCTTTGCTGTGGAAGAGGCTCGGAGTCCAGCTCTGCAGGTGTTCTCTCTTCCCTGCTTTGGGGAACACTGTGCAGCAGGAGTGCCAGAGCAGAGCACACGCTCTCCTTAAGCGATGGGGGCTGGAGCTGACAGCCCTCCCTTCTCCAGGAACAGAGGGCCCGTTTGCCCCACAGAAAGCTGCAAGCTCTGCACAAAGGTGCCAGAGGAGGCTCCCCGAGGCCGCTCTTACCTGGGAGAGCGGGCGGGCAGCGCTGCGCTGCGCCGGGGCCGGCGGGCGCCACTCAGGACATGGAGGGAGGACATGGAGCCATTCCTGCATCACCAGGGGCTGCATCAGAGCTGATGGTCATGGGGATGGAGCACCTGAAAAGCAGTGTTAGAGTCCCCGCGTCAGCTTGCACCTCCTCACGGAGCTGACCCCCTTCCCAGCTGCCTGCAGCGCTGCCTCCATGGCAGCCGGAGACTAAAAGGAAGCATTTTTTAATTTAATGTACTTCTACTAGTGTTGCAATCTTGTTTCATCTAAGCATCCAACTCTTCCACCTGGTTGTGCAATTTGCTGTTAGTGAGTCCCACAGACAGCACTTTTAGAAAGGGTTGGGTTTCTTGAACTGTACAAGATGGTTTAAAGAAAGGGAGAGAGGACCTCACTAGCATGGCCCTTGTTATAGTTTTGGTTGAGATAACATTCACTTTCTTCCTAGCAGGTGGTACAGTATGGTTTTTAATCCAGAACAACTTATGTTTAGACAGAACAGACATATCCCCATAACAGACAACATTTTCAAACATATTTTTTCCTTTTATATTCAGAAGGCAAATTGCCTAGAGCCCCAGCTTCATGTATCTCATACTGTGAGCTAGCTTTTTATGAGTTTTTGCTCATTATGAGCTATAAAATTCCCTTCATTATCCCCATTTTTGAACTGCGTGACCTGTAAAGCCAGTTAGCAGTGGCCCCTTGACTATTCTGTAGATCAGAAATGCAACCTCTGGTCACAGTACTGCTGAGTTTTGTTGTTTGGACTCTAAATGAGCTAAAATAGGGATTCATTTCATTGCCAGCACCATCTCAGCTTTATGGAAAGCCATGAGAAATAAAGCTCAGAGAAAACTTGGTGACTGCTTTCCTACTTAGAGAAGGTAAAAATCACCTGCTCCAGCAGACAGAGCTCGTGTCTGCCTGGAGATGAGGCTGCTTTGAGGAGAATGAGTGATGCTGATGGAAGAAGGCTGCTGGCTCCTTCACACCCAGCTCAGCTGGACAGCTGGGGGAACCCTCCTGGCAGGGCAGGAGCAGGCAGCACATCCTGCACTGACAGCAGCCACTCTGCACAGACAGCTGAGGAGAAACCCCCCCGGCCCCGTGCCACTGCCCATCTCTGGCACTTTCACAGCCCTCACTCCCCTGCCTGAGCCTTCCCTGCCTCTCTGCCCTCAATTACACACATTAAGAGATTATCCTATGATTTTTTTTTAAATCTCTTAGTGATTTTTACAGCCATAATTCTCTCCCTTTCCAGCAGAGCAGCCTGTGCTGAGCTCTCCAGCAGGCTGACAGTCCAAGGTCTCATCCTCTCCCTCTCCTGCCCATTAGCACCAATGAACACTGCAGGCTGTGCATCCCTGCTCCTCTCCCCATGCAGGCAGGGGATTATGAGGGGATTATGAGACCCACACTAATAATTATAAATTCCAGGGTCTTCAAAGCCCTCCAGCCTCTCGGTGCAAATTCACCACACCCAGCCCCAAGGGTACAGAAGATTTCTGACAGAAGGTAACAGCACCTCCTTTCCCTCCAGTGCTTGCGCCATTTGGGCTCTGTTGCTCTAAATGACCTCTGGATGACACTCAATGTAGCCAAGATACAATTCTCAGGGTGTGAAAAGCTATTTTTCCTCAAAGCCTCTGACAAAGGAATGCCACCGAGCTCTTCCCCAGGACTGGGAAATCCATGGCTTTTGCAGTGAGGTTCTGATGTCTCCCTGAAGTTGCCATCCCGAGGTTTTTGTGTGGTACAGTGCAGTGAAACCGCAGGGATGTGTGCTGGCCAGACGAGCTCAGCCAGCCCTCCAACAGCACACCCAGGGGCTCTCTGCTCTTAGTCCTCCCAGCACAGCCTGGCCCCAGTTCCTGCCACCAGCACAGAGAACAGGGGCAGTAGCGGGCAGGTCACAATGCTCTGACTGCATCTTGCAGAGTGACAGATGTGCATGCACGGGGCAGTGCAGCTCTGAGACAGGGGTGGGTAACCCTGGTCCTGCAGGTGCCCACGCGCAGGACCTGGAGGGTGCCCACGCTCCCTGCCAGCATCGTGGAAATAAGGACAGCCATTGCTGCACCTCCTGAGGGCTGGCTCCTTGAACTCCTCCAGGGATGGCAAAGCCCATCAGGACACAGATGGCACAGGGAACTAAAGCCTGTCCAAGGCAGAAGTCACAGAACAGGCTGAGTGCCAAGCAAGGGGCACTACCCAGTCATGTCCTGTGCAGCCCCTTGCTGCCACGAGCACTAGAGCAGGGTGGAGGGCAGTGGCTCAGCTGCCCTTTGCCATTCTGCAACAGCAAAGACAAAGCCCAGGGGTAGAGAACCCGGACAGTGTGGAACTGACTGAGCTGCTCAGCAGCCAGCACAAAGGAGCACGTTCAGGGGGAGAGAGAGACAACCAGACTGAGAGGCACGTCTGCAGGCAAGCCAACAGCTCCATGTGACCCCTTGCCAAATTCCCTGCTATTGCTGGAACCAAGCAAGGAGAAATGCTCTTGGATCTGCTCTCCTTCTCTGCTGAGGCACACAAAACAGCTCCAGTTCTGGCACTCCTACTTCAGTGCTTCCATACAGCTCTGGGGCTGGGCACTGCAGCATGTGGAGCAGAGATTTGTGGATGCTTCCTGGCTAAATTCCTCTTGCCTGATGCCTATGCCTGCCAAGAGCCAAACCTGTGATCCACTCTGCCTCTCCCACATCACCATTCACCCTCTGCACTCTGCTTTAGGTTGGTGCTGGAGACCCAGCACACGACAGCAAAGGTTCAACATCATACAAACCAGACTGAAGTCCAGACAACAAAAACTATCATCCCCACAGCCTACTCCAAGCCTCTGATTGAAAAGGAGTTGAGATTCTCCTTGGGAGGACTCAAGGAACAATGTGGTCAGGCTGTTCAAACAGATATAAAGTGAGCTTGGTCCCCTGGGCACAGAACAAACATCAAGGCTCAGGTGAGCAGAAGCAGGTGAGAATTTCCACAGGTGGACACTGCAAGAAGCAGTGGCAGAGTCACCATGGAGCAGGGACTGGGGCACTGCACTCACACAGTGGAGACAGCAAGGAGGGAGACCTCTTCCACTGGTGTGTCTCACCTGTCTGTGCTGGAGGTCCCACTGCAGGCACAAAGGTGTCAGATCAGCCCTCAGAGGCATCAGGTACAACCTCCTTACCTGGTGCTGTTTTGCATCCTCCCCCATGCAAAGCACCCAACACTTGCCTCTGCTCTCAGAGCACCCTAAGAAATGGAGCAGAAATGTTCCACAGTGCTGTGTTAGAGCTTCCAAACACTTCAGCACCCAAACCACTACTGAGGTGGGACCTTGATGATCCTCCAGTTGAAAAATGAGAGAGCCAAAAATCTGGGTGTTACTTTTCAACAGTCGAATGCCTGGGCATTAAAGGTATTAAAACCAAAATAATTGCCTTTTTTTCTCTTCCTACACGAGCTGTACTTGTTACAAATTCAGCACTGGAGAGCCTGTCCCACTCCCTTCTTTCCAGGCAGTCTGACGAAGGCAGCTGGAGTAGCCTTTGCTCAACCAGTCCTGTTTCAGCTCTGTCACACAACTCACTGCACCACTCAGGGACCTCTGTGCTCTCTCTGCTTTCCAGAGCTGCTGCAGCAGCATCCCTGGCTGGCTGGAGGGGCTGTCCCAGCTCCTGCAGCACCTCTTCTCCATCCCACCCAAAAGGAAGGTGACAGCTTGCCACCAGGGCACATGGTGCACAGAATTCTCCAATTCTGCTGCGTTTGTTTAAAATCCTCCTGATAGAAACCCATACCCAAACACTGAGAGAATTCACACTGCAGCTGACCCTCCATGGCTAAAGCCAACCCCCAAGATTAGAAACCTGTCACAGGCAGTAGAGTGTAATGTTGAATTTCCAGCTCCCTACCACACATAACAGCAGCAAACACAGCACACAGGTCAAGAGGTCTCTCACTCACACAGTTTATGCTTTGAATTCCTAATTTCCTCCTAAACATTCTTCCCTGAAACTTTCCACTTCAGATCTTGGCCTATAAGGAAAAAAATATGGGAACATCTTGAGGCAAGGCAGCTCAGCTCAGCCTTTATCCCATGAGGAGAGTGGAAATACAAACATGTTCCCTGCTGCTGGAAATGTTAATGACTTTGTTGTTGTTTAACTTACTGTACAGAGAAGTAATAACATTTCAGCTCAGCATGTTCAGTGTCCTTTCAGGGGAAAGGTGGGAGGCTTGTGGATATTTCAGAGTTCAGCTCCCATGTAGATGATAACAAAGGCAGCATTCCCAGGCTGGCAGACAGCAGGACTCCCTCGACAGCTTAACAACACATCCTGTTTCAGCAAAAAACTATTTTCTGCATTTGTAAGTAAATAATTTAAGCCTGAGATCGCAGGCCAGACGAACTACTTCCCAAGACCCCACTGGTCAAGGTTTGGTGAGAGAAAAGCAACCTTTGTCCCACTGGGATCAACGAAAAACAACACAGTTCCCTCTCAGAGCACGGGCCCTTCATCTCCATCTCTTTACAAACCCAGAACAGACACCCAAACACACTCCCACAAAAATCATCCCAACATTCTCCTGGCTGTTACGTGCTCCCATGTACCCTGAAAGGGGACTGCCAGCAATCTTCCACACGTGGGAGCATTTCCAACCCCATCATCTGAGGGCTAAAAATCCCAGAGGCCAAAGCAGCCACTGGGCTTCACACTGCACTTCCACCAAAGAACCAGGTCCCCTTTATTAATTAAAATGAAGGGTGCTTCAATTAAGCACCTGTCCATGAGAAGTAGCATAAAACTTTGGCTGTATCCGGCAGTGAGCAAGCAGCACAGAAGATGTGTTATTCACTGAGGGTGGGTGAAGTGGGGACTCACATCTAATGAGCTCCTTTCTTAAATGGACACTTGGACTTGGAGCTCATAACCAAAATGTTATTTTAATTCAACGGATAAACAGGTGCCACACATCTTAATAAGGAAGCAGCATCCTTTCCCCTGGCTCACTCTCCATTTTCCTAAGCAACAGAATATACACACTCACACAGCATCAAACTGAAAAATTTCACCAGTTGGCTTTGCACTAGGAAACTGTGGTGGTGATGATGTCCCCACCTCACCAGGTGAGTGTGGGTGTATGCCCACAACACGGTCATGCAAAACTGACTACCCCTCTCTCTGCTCAAAAATAACTTGGGGGATTTTTTTAAAGGAAGATTGAAAAACCTCAATTTCCTTTGCATGTCGTTTCAGACTCCCAGCTGGGTTTTAAGTTGCTCCCTCTAAAGCTCACTTTTCCTAGGAACTCTTCCCATCTCTTAGCAGCTTAAAGTACTGAAATAATGACTCCAGCAGACAGAGGACCCAGCTGTGAGCCCACAGCCCTGCTGGGCTGGACACAGAGAAGCTGCTGCCTGCTGGACCTGACACACAGAAGGAGCAGGAGAAGAGCAAGCAGCAACCTCCCAAAAGGGACAGCAGAATAGGGGGAAAATCACTTGCTTAATGACTGAAAGAAGGTTGCACCGAGCATAATAATTGAAGACATTCCTTCAGAAACGTGCCTCCTGTAGCCCTGAAACCTGCCAGTTTAAACCAGTAAAAACCTCAAGCCTTGCCTTTGCCTTTCTCCTCTAAGCACCTGAACCTTCCCTTCCCTGCTGCTGGAAGCAGCAAACAAGTTTTGCTGCATTGTGAAAAGCACATCACCCATTTGCCACGCTGTGTAACTGATCAACAACAGTGGGAAGAGCACACCCACACTCAGGTCTGATGGCCAAGGCAATGCTGCTGACTCTGGCTGCCTTGGCATTTTACTTCTCATTCTCACTGTAAACCTGGCACCTGCTTCTCTAAACTGAATACTCATGCCCCCAAGGTTGTTTTTATAATAAACTCCCTGCCAAAGCACAAGGCTCTCTGGCCTTCTGAGGCCATGAATTTTACGACCAGGCTGTGTGCCCCATGGAGTCACATTTCCTTCCCCTACTTGAGATGTGTCAGAGTGACTTTATTCTTATGCAAAGGGAAACAGCAAAGGCAAATGGGATGGAGCAATTTTGTCTCTATTCTGAAAAGATTGGTTTCATCTTCATACACCTATGAAAATGAGAGTTTTTTGAAGACTGAGTTCTTTCTGGTCAGTATGTCTTATTTCACGAGACTTATAATTCCTCTGTTATGCTTTTATCACAGACATCCAGGCTGAAGTGGAAGCCTTGAATGTATTTCTAAAAACATGATTATATTCAGAAATTCACCGTGTCTCCAGAACTCAGGACTTTTGTTTGAACCCATTCATTTAATCCCTTCACTGTCTGACTTTGTTTGGTTTTGCAAAGAGCCACTCCGACCCGAGCAGCCCCATTCACAGTTACAGCCCCGGCCAGTTTTAGAGAGCAGCATTGATCTGTCTCAGACGTTAATCCAGAGACATGATCCTCATCCCATGTCAGCTCCTTCAGCTGACAGAGAGGACCTGAGCACAGCATCAATCACAGCAACACTCCAACACTTGCCCTCCCAGCACCCCAGGCGCCCACATTCCTGGACACTGCTGCAAAACGAGACTTTGGTCCAGTTCCTTTCCAGAGTGGCACCACATCCTTGCTGACTCCAAAAACCTGCCTGGACAGCTCCCACAGCAGCAGAGAAAGAGCTTTCAGCACGGGGAGCTGGCAGGGGAGGGTGTGAGATGGCACCAGAGCCACACAGAGTGACAGGAGAATGGAAACCCCCCAGCACAGGTGAAGCTGGTGGCTGGGACCTCACACAGCTTCCTCAACAAGGGCACTGTGGTCAGGCAGGAAAGGCCATTAATGAGAATAACCAAACAAGAACCCTCACAGGTCCGAGACAGAGAGGTGAGCAGCAGCAGGAGAGGTGCGAGGGACCTTGGATTAGGGCACAGGGAAAACTGACAAAAAACTGACTAGACTTTTTTTTCATCACTAAAACTCAAAATACAAACAAACATTGGTTCTGCCAGAAAAAGTGTGGCATTTAAGGGTATGGGAATAATTGCTCCACACCCCTGTCACTGCACATGGGCAACCTCAGCATTGAAACCCCACAAATACAATGCTGGCACTTCCACCGGTGGATCTCCACAGCTGTGATGCTGTGCTGGAGGGAAGGCTGAAGGAAACAGGCTGGACTGGGCACCTCTAATAATCTGTGGCACTAAATCTTGAGAAAGCACAGCCCAGGCTGTCCTGTCTGGCAGGGAGAGGGAGGCAGAGTGCTGAGCCCTGGGGAGCAGGAAAGGTCCTGTGCTTCCTGCAGGCAGTCCTGCAGTCGGTCAGGGCGCATCCAGGGGAAGGTCAGTGGTGGCAATACAAGCCCTTGAGAGGGAGGAGGAGGAGGAACGATGAGTGAAAGGAGCTGGGGAGAAGCTGGGGGAGGGGAGGGCGGACACATAAAGGAGCAAGGCTGGCCCGTGTAAGGTACTGAATGGAAAGGGCAGAGCTGGGGCTGTGGGAAGATCCTCGCTCACTACGTGAGGAATATTTGGGTGCCTGCCTTGCCCTGCTGCCTGATCCTCCCAGGAAGGTGCTAGAAGGCCACCACGCACCCTGCCCGGAGCAGGGGTAAATAAACCTTCAACGTGCAGAGCATCACAGCCGGGCACACCGGCACGCTGGAGGCGGCTGCTCGCCTCGGGAACCCGCATCCCTAGCCGGTCCCTAGCCTCTCCCTCGTGGAAATGGTCTTGGTCGCCTCTCTGGCTCTCACCCCGACACCCTTCTTTTCTTCTCCGCAAGTTTCCTCAGCCGCACATGCATGGGCAGCGCTGCTGCCAAGGGACACGCACACCCCCAAAGAGCGCATTTCCCACCTCAAACCATCCGTCCAAATTCTCCCCTTTTCCAGCCCGGGCAGGAAATCCGAGAGGGAAACAAACGTTGCCATGGCCTACCTTCCGAGTCGGCCGGGTCCGAGGCGCGGGGGCAGCGGGGCTGTGTGAATCAGCAGAGGATCCCTGTGACAGGGATGCATGCTGAGCCTCAGCACCGCTGCCTCTCCTCCTCCACCGCCCCGGCTGCTGTGTTGCTATGCAATCACATCACCGCCGCCAGCGGCTCGCCCAGCTCCGAAGAGATACCCTTGACTCGGCAAAACACGGCGGGGAACAAGGACGAGCCCACCAAGCGCCGGCCCCCGGAGAGCCCGGCCGGCGATCGATGCCGAGGAGGGGAGGGAGAGGAGCGGGGATGCAAAGACAGGCACGCACGGGAGGAGGAGACAAAATACACATGGAGAGGGGGAAGAGAAGGGAGGAGGGGAGATGTACACACTGAAAGCGCCGCGCTCTGACCTCTGGAGACCTGACACGGGCTGCTGGGCTCAGACACGCTTCCCGCTGCTCGCCGGCATCTCCCACCGCCCCTCGGGACTCGCGGCTCTCATTTTAGGTTAGATAGGGCCAGGCGTGTGCTGGAAAATGCCAGGCACATTCGCCTGCTTCCTTAAGCACAATTTGGGTATCTGACACACGATTTTTACAATTTAAGAATAGCCCGTCTTAAAATTAAAGGAGCAAAAATAGGATTATCACTTAATTTCGGATGTGCTTCCTGTTCTTCTTAGAAAAGAAAAATAAGTAAGGAAGGAGACATTTCTCCAGGCTGGGGAAATCTTTTAAATGTCAGGGTGTCTTGTCTCAGCTCACAAGAAACAGGAGGATTTGAGCTGCTAGCTTGGATGAGGACACAAACAGACACAGAGCTGGGATTTTGGTCCATGGATAACAGTTTGCAGTTCTTCAGATCATTCCACCCAAGGATTTCAAACTGCTCAAGCCACCAAGTGATGTTATTTTCATATAACACAAAAAGAAACAGAATTAAATTACTTGGTGAGAAAGAGGATTCAAATGTAATCCCAGCTCTGTGTTTTAAGCACTAGACTGTCTCAGTCTCTCCATGGGAAAATTAAGTCAGAAAATACAATCTTCCTGGTCCTCATCAGAACAGTCTTTAATGAATCTTAGTCCTTTTTCCCCCAGAGCTGACAAACTAAAGATGTTATTTTTCTGCTCACAGAGTCATGTTATCCAGAAATATCAGTGCTGTTTGTAAACATTTTCCATTTCTCTATACATTTACTCCCCATCTCAGGTGTATTCCAAAATGCAGGTTCACTCAGACCCAGGAATATAACAGCTTCACAACTCCAATGTATTCCTGAAAAATCACTCCTGGTCAAGCCAGCACTGGAAATAGCTGGCAAACTCTCTGCAGCATCACAGGGCTTCCTGTGGGCTTATGGACAATGGTCAGGAGATGGTGCAGCACAGAGGGACAGGGCCCAGGCCAGGGCTGTGCCCAGCAGGGTGGGGAGCCCACCACCACCTTTCAGCCAGTTTGGGCACCTTACAGAGCAAAACACTTTAATCCCACTCCATGGGAATGCAAACGGATCAAAAGCTTTTCTAGGTCACCAATTGAAACATGGAGAAGGTTTAAAACTCAAAATATAGTTGATTTTATGTAAAATATGTTTGAGAGAGTCCTCAAGAAAGCAGTGAGCTCCTTGGGATGGTACCAGCTAGAAGCTGCAGCAGGTGGGTGGCTGACCCCGAGGAAGTTCTCCTTCATCCCAGATGGGTGCACCAGGAGTCAGGAGCAGAGCACAGTGAGGCACAGACAACTCCTGTAACTGCACTGAAAGGAGATTTTTAAATAGCAACCTCCTTATCGTTGGTTCCAAAAGGAGCAACGCTGAATACTTGGAGTACCAACCCAAGAATACTTATTCACTCCACACCTTCTGCTCTTAAAATCTTCTTCAATAGCTCCTGCTTCCACAACAGCTGTACTGATGCAATAAAATCCCTCCTGGAAAGCTGTGCTCAGACCAAAAAAAACAGATATGGATCAGAAGACAAAAATGAGCAGAGACTCTGCTGGGCTATTTTTGTCCACACACACAAATAAGAAATCTTGGGTTAAATAAGGAGAGTGAGGGGGGGAAATAACAGCAGAGTCCGGAAGGGCTGTCCAGGCAACTCCAAAGACACCATTCTCCAGAGAGACACGACCAAACCCAATGGCAGCATGTGTCTGTCACCACCAGCAGCTGTAAGGGACGTGACAACATGGATAAACATATCAAGCCAATTTACACATGCACACAAGACAGACATCAGCACAGAGATGTGAACAGACAGCATGAACCACAAAAACAAGGTGCTTTCCTGTACAAGCATCCTAAATTATTGATTGTTTAAATGCAGTAGAGGAAAAAAATCTCTTGTGTCAGTTTAGTTTAAATTATGAGGCAAACCAGAATCTCTGCTGGGAGAGTTGCTTCCAGGGCTGGGAACATCTTCCCAAGTCCTCCAATACTTTCTGTTTTAAGGATAAAATTAGGGCAAGGAGAGGAGGAATTCAGAACTCAAGGGGAACGAGGGAGACCAGCTCGGATGTGTCATAATCGCAGTTTCCACATAAGCACTACAACTTTTTTAAGTGTATGGGAAGGCTTCTGAGATGAGAGGCTAAATTTGGTGTACTTTGAGTTCTGAAGAGAACTTAAGCCAAAAAAATCTCCCAAGGAGCTCCAAGAGCTGAGCTTCCAGAAGATACAGTGGTACTTACTTTATGTATTCCCTTAATGAAACATTTCAGACATTTTCTGTTTTATGAAACAGCAAATATGTACTTTGGTAGGAAAACTGACAATGTCCTCCCTCCCAACAGGGATATCTCAATATGCACAGTGCTAAATTCAGTGTACAATCATACAATAGGTAAAAATTGGGACAGGTTTTATAAGATTGACATAGAGACACACACAGACACACACACAGACACATTATTTTTAGTTTGAAAGTTTTAAAAGCTGAAAATAAGGGCTGTGTTGCTTTCAGCCTAAATTCTGTATTACATTCTCCATATTTATTATTAAAGCCATTATTATTAATCACTTGTAAGCTGGAATATCCATAACACTCACTATTCTTGCATTACCAACCAAACAAAAAACATTACCTAAAAATCTCGCTTTCACATTTTCAACATAAAACTTAGGGTTCAATATAATTAAAGGCTATTACTTCTACATTTTTCTTCTCATAAGTTCCCACCAATTAACTATCTTCTAAAATAGTCCTTGTCACAGGGAATTGGTTCCCAAAATGTGCAGTGTCTCTTCCCTCCTTTGAAACATCACATCTCCTGAAAGAGAAAGTTCATCTCTCTGGTACAGAAGAGAAAGTATTGTTACCATCCTTTGGAAACTTTGGTACTTTCTTTCCCTTTCAGAGTAAAGCTCAAATTTATCCATTTATCCCAATTAAAGTGTTTTGGAGAAAGATGCTTTAGCCAGGAACAGAATGTAGACTTATCCTTGTTAAAAGGAGAATACAGGCAGACACCAAGAAGAGCACTTTCCCTAGAACCATACACCCACAGTCCTTGTGGATCCATCTGCTGAAGAAGAGTTTAGTGAGAGGCTTGTGAGCCAGGACAAGGTCCCTTATGGCTTGAAGAAATCCAGTTTCTCCCCAAGAGCCTACAAATCCCTGTTTTCCTGAGACACAGGGCTCCCTCACCTGAATCTGCTCCTAATTAAAGCATCAGACAGCACTGTGTTCTCTCACAGCTGCCCACATCCCAACAGCTGTAGCTCTGCTTTGATTCAGGATCATTGATCTCAGTGGTTGTGCCTGGGAAGGGGAAGCCAGAGGAACAATCTTGCACAAAGGGACAGACCTGCCCATCAATTCCAGTACATTAGACAGGCCAGCAGGTTGGGAGCAGAGCACAAAGAGCCTCCCTTCAACAAGAAGGAACAAAATTAGAATTAGGGCCCTAAGAAAATAATTTAGTTGACTGGATATTTTAACATCCTGGGGGGCTTTTTTTCTTGTTTTGTTTAAATAACTGATATAAAATAAATAACTGTACTTCTTTTGCTAGCATCAATAACCACAAAAACCTTCCCAGAGCAGATTCTACCCTGCTGAAAGCATTTAGAAAAACAGCAGGGTACTTTCTAAACACGTGGTACCTGGGGTGAGAGAGAAGAATGTGCAGAGAACTGATGCAAGCCATGCACTCAAACAGAATTAATCCCCCTTTTAATTTGTTCCCACACAGGCCTTGAAACAATCCCCCCAAATGAGAAATAGAGACTATAAGGGAGGAAGGAAATCTTTTCACAGCAGCAAGTGCCAAAAGAAAGAGGAGAGGGTATCAAAAGAGTGTAAATAATTTGGGGGGAGAGATGGAGAAAGAAAAGAGAAAATGGTAGAAAAGAAAGCAAAAGCATGCAGGAGAGGAGGGTAAGGCAGACAAGGCAGATTTCAGGGCTTGTTTTGGTCTTCAAAAGCTGTCAACACATTTACAATGTGCTTTCCATCCCCCTCCTTATTTACTGGGCCGTGCACTCAAAGGAGCAGGAAAGCAATCACACAGGAGATGCTGAAGATTCACTTGGACACAGAGCAGAGGTGCCCTAAGAGAAAGGAAACTGCTTAGTGATCCATGCACAACAAAGCATGATGGGGATGGTACAGGCCCAGAGACTTGAGAGAGAGAGAGGGCTGGCAGGAAACCTGCAGAGAGCAGCCTCTTCCTGCAGAGATCACACTGGCAGCACAGACACTGGAGCAGAGCAAGTCAGGCTGCACAGGGATACAGCTGCACATAAAAATATATGTTCACAGCAGAAGCTTATCCCTTAATTCTTGAAAGGAAGAGCCCAAAGGATTTGGGCAGAGAGTAAAATTTTTCAAAGTATCTGCTGCAATTTGCAGCCTAAACCCAGTGCCTGAAGCTCAGGAGCTCAGCCACGTTACAGTGACTTAAATATCCCATGAGTGAGGCTGTGCTGGAACAGCCCCTCCTGTGTCACGTTTCTGGCAGGTACCACAGCTTGTCTGATGCATGTTCACTCATTCAACTGCAGAATGGGATCACGCCTCAGCCTACAGATTTCTAAACACTGTCAAGGTTAAAATGGTATTTAGAGCCTGTGTAGGTACCTGCAGTTTTTTTTGGTATTTTTTTAAGATCAACTGTTTTGGTTTCTACATTTGTGCAAGAGCGAGCCTGGAGATTAAAGCCTTTATTAAAAAAAAAAAATCTTACCCTCTGTTATGCAGACTTTTTACTCCTACAAGACAGGAAGCTGAGAGGCAGAGAAGCATCCTCACAAGGTACATAT